TGGCCTCCAACCTAATAGCTTCTAGCTACTAGTAGCTTCTTGTTACTTGTGGTAATGGCCTCCAACCTAGTAGCGTTGGCCTCCAACCTAATAGCTTCTAGCTACTACTAGCTTCTTGTTGCTATAGTACAGGCCTCCAACCTAATAGCTTCTAGCTACTAGTAGCTTCTTGTTACTAGTAGTAATGGTCTCCAACCTAGTAGCGATGGCCTCCAACCTAGTAGCGATGGCCTCTAACCTAGTAGCGATGGCCTCCAACCTTTCGCCAACTGGAGTTGTCATACATGAAGGCAAAGCGGATTCGCTTTTAGGGTCACCATCCTATTCCCAAAGGATCCAAAGGACAGGACGTCACAAATCCCAAAGTAGTCAACCAGTTCAGTTGATGCTTGCCCCTAGGCATCCCGTTCGGCCCCCCAATCGGGATGGCTTTGATGACTGGAGCCCAATCGGGCATGGGCCCGCCCTTTTCCGCCCTAACTCCGCCTTCGATCGAAGCAGTTTCTTCGAACGTCCCACCTTCCTGAGAGCCTCGTCGGCTCCGGAGGCTTTGTAAGGGTGACATCCAAAAAGGCAAGCCATTGCCTGAGCACGGATGGAGAGCGTCAGCGGCGTGGAGAGTCAGCGTTTCTTTTTGGAGACCGTGATGGAAAAAACGGCGAGGCGGGTGAAAATCAAACTGGGGAGGACTTGAAGAGTGTGAAGATCGAATCAGATGGAACCCGGACTCCAAAATCACCGTGTGTGTTCCAAAATCCACAGGTCTCCTCAGCTGGCGTGGGATGCAACCCGCAGGCCCCGGGACAGGAAAAACGGGTCAACCGCACCGCGCCGAACTCCACAGACAAGCCACTTGAGGTTGGCAAAGACTGCTGGCCTGTCCCGGGCCACATCCGGGCTATACTCATCCAATTCATTGCGGGAACCTCTGGCCTACCCGGCCTACCCTCACCTAGCTCGGATGTTGTGGAGATGGTATGGCACCACCGGGAGTGGTAAAATCTGCCACGTGAGGCTCATCTTCCCCACAGTGAGGCTCATTCTTTCGGTGCATCGGAAGAATCGGAGTTCGTTCTTCAGGAAAAGCTCACTAACCTCCATGACCTAACTGTGTCACTTTGGTATCTGATGTAGCACTTTGAAGTTTCATGGAGGTTCTTGAGATTTCTTGAGGAATGACCATCATCAAGACTCAGTGATCTGGTCGAAAAGCATTTGATTGCTTGGAGGAACTTGCCCCCACACAACAGCCTACAGTCTATATTCGCATTTAATATCTCTGGTCTTGATGTACAGGTCTAAGCATTCAAAGGTTTTGGTAGGGAACCGAGACCAGATCTTGAAGAGTGAGCCGCAGCCGTGGTGGCTACATACGGGTGGAGTATCTCAGCCCTTGTTACCCGAAATCTCTTAAACACATGTGGTGAGCATAATGGCACACACACATACATATATTATATATATACTGCCATATGTGTATATATAAATATATAGAGAGAGAGAGCCCTTTGGCCCAAACGGTTAAGCTCAGAAACTCTTCGCTTCTGGATGCTTAACACATCACACTCATGTCATTCCATGTGGTTCTCATGTCTCGTGCTGGCTGCTGGCACTGGTCACATTCCGACGTCTCATAGAAATTGGGCGGGGGAGACGTCGCATGGCGCGTCGCATGGGCGGGATCTCAAAAGCCCAAACCAATAGTCTAGTTCTTCAACAGCTTGTTCCAATTCCCTCTGGTCCTTCAACTTTAGAGCCAAAACCCAGCAGAAAGCATCAATGCATCTTTTCTCAGAGGGCGGTGTCCTTCCAAAAGGGCCGAAACTGGGTTCAAGAAACGGGATGGATCCCAATGAAATCCGATTGTATCACATTAAATTCACTTATTAGCTACCATGTGCCAGCCTGATTGCATGGTCAGCGTTTAAAGCAGATTACTGGCCCAGAGTTGACCCCAACGTAGATGGACATCTGCCATGAAACGGTGCGCACGTCCCGCCTGTTTCCTTGGATCCTTGTCGTTCCTCCCGAACATCCTTCGACTGTGCCCGGCTGCCCGTCTGCCCGCTGGGTGGCAAAAAGCGCCCCACTGGAAGCCGAGGCGGCGGCGCGTGGCGCTTGCGTGCGCGGGACTTCTCCAAAATGGAGCGGCTCCTCAGATGGGCGACTCCCCGGTCCGCTCTGCTCAGTGTCAGCGGCTTCCGACTGGGCCCCCGAATCCTCTGGTCAGGGATCTGGGGGTCGAACCAATCCCTGAGGTTTTTCGAGGGACCGGGAATAGGGCTGTGAATGGTGCGTCTGGGCGAGTGCAAAAAGGATTTATGTCTCCAAATGTCCGTCTGACACAGGCTGATCTCCCAAATAGGGGGGCTGTTGGTGAAAGTCGGGCACGGTTGGGGGGGGTTAGGAGCCTCACTACTAGGAGCAAGGACGCTACGAACGGGTCTCCTGTCAAATTTCACGTCTTCAACACCTGACATGTTAGCACATGTTGCCCCTCCGTCATCATAGAGCTTTTTCCATGGTGATGCTGCACCAACCCCATGCTCGTTCGATTCAGGTGCGTGCAACAACCCCAACGTTCGTTCTTGGCTGCGTGCTTGAGTCCTTGAGTGCGAACGAAACAGGTTTGGTCCAGTTCATGGGAACCATAGACCCAAAAAAAGAAACAACAAAGAGCCACTGGGTCGACTGAATGCAGTTGCCAGTCACACCGGCTCGCTGTTTCTGTATACGTGCTTTGTTGACCTCGACTCTAGACTTGTAGGGAATCACACTTTGATGGTCTCTCCGTCTCTCGCACTAGCCGCCTACTGGAGACCTATGCTTTGGACGTGGATGCATGACTCGACGTCCGCCGTTGGAAGTGTCAGTCGCCCCATGTGAACCGGACCTAGCCGGACAGGACCTGCACACATTCATGGCAACTCACCAACATCAACTGCCTATGACTGAAGCCTATCATCCAGATTTCCTTGCAAATCCGTAGTCGTCCCAAATCTCTTTGCAAATCCTTGATCTGGTCAAAGGTCTTTGAAATCCCCTACTCTTCCCAAATGTCTCTAAAAGCTTCGATAAGCAAAAGCAAAAGCAAGGAAAATGAAAGGATCATGATCAAAGCCGGCGATTGTGGCCCATTGACAACACCACCAAGCCCACATGCCATCAACCTGCTTGCTGCGCACATGTTTGCATGTGTTTTTCAATCCAGCTGGTGGTAAAATATGTGCATAAGGACTTCACAGGACGTCGTTTTTTCTAAAACATAGATGCCATTAAATGCCATCTATGTGTGCCAGGATCTAATAGAGTCTAGCTGTTTGATGGCATTTCTATTGTTGAGCCGGCTCTCGATGCATCAAAATGACCGTAATTCACGCCGTATGTAAGATATGACGTCGAGATGGTGAGATGACCGGAATGCCAGGTGCTGCGGTCGAACTACTTCATGTGGCATGTGTTTTCACGGCGAGCAACCCAAACGACTGCCTTTCAACACTCGGGCGGGGAAAGGGCGCGGCGGAGAGACGAAACGGATAAATTTTGGTGATTCGGGGCGGGCGGGTTCAATTTCAGTGCAAGCTGAGGAAATGAGCAACAAAGGCATGCAACTCTGAGCTGTTGGCTGAGGGACCTAGGTTGCCGGAACACTCTGAGCTGTCTCAGTAAGACTGTTGCATCGTGTGAATTTCTGCTACGTGGGCACCGTGGGCTGATGTCCAAAACTCAGTGCTGATTTTGGGAGCCATAACGCATAGGCTCCAAGTACAGCCTGCGCATATGCATAGGTAGTGCACTCCTATGTGGGGTTTCCAGGTGTATCTGTACGACTCTACTTACAGTAGATTCTCTATGATTCTTTATTATGCCATTTAAAGTACATCTTTCTGGGAGGAAACATGTCAGGTTCTCATACGATCCCATACACCCGTGTTGACCTTCATGGCCGGTGTCGGCGTTGCTTTAGCCGTGTTCGCCAAGATTCTCCCAAGGCCGACAACTCTCCCACGGCTTCAAATCAGAGCCGTTGGAGACCTGGGCCAAAGATTGAAAACATGGTGTCGAGTCGAGTGTGCTTTTCTTCGTGTGATAGAATCATATCACCCAAACACTCCATGTATGGCATATTTACCTACATTGACCCCTGAAGCCACCCCAATGTAGGGGCATACATGGAGTGTCTGGGTCATATCTAATTATCGATCATTAGTCTCATTTCTGAAATGATTAGTTTTCATGGGAGAAGGATGGCGAGGGAATGGGTGGAACGCCGTGTGGCAGTGGGCAAGTTCACCCTGTAGCCACATTGGTCATCACTTAGCAATTCAAGGAGATCTGATATGCTATGATATGCTTACTTATTCTTCTTACTTCAGAATGAGAACCTTCATAATTGGTGCTTCATTCATGATAGAATACAATAGTTAATTATACTTGTATATATATATATACAATGTATCTCCCCACGGAATCCTCATAGCAAACAGGTGGTGAACTCCACTTCCATGACTTGTCGACCTTCGGGTCCCTGTCGCCTCCCGCGAGAAAGGCCGCAACTCCAAGTTCATGCTCGTCAGCCCAGCTCCAAAGCCTCCAAACCGCTTGGGCGCCTGGGAGGAAGCGGCTACGGGGCGGTTTGGCCAAGCTGTGGATTTCGGCCGTGTGTGCCTGTTTGGAATGAACACATGGACGGTTTATAGGTCTGCTCAAAGTGAAACAAGACCCACCATGCGAAATCCACTGATTCACGTCCCATGCAGATTGGCATGATCGAGCACATGGACATGCGCCACATGAGAACCCTCTATCCGTCGGATCCCATGTCTGGCCTCCATCATGGCCATGCAGCGCTTGAGCGCCTGTTCAGTGGCCTTTGCCACAACGGCCTCCAAGCCCTGCAAAGGATTTTGGCTGGTGAAAAAATACGAGTCAGTGACAATCAATCTGTTCAATCATCCCAACTGCAAGTAACGGTTGAAAACCACATATATAAACTATATAACAGTACCATAATACAGTATATAGAATCTATGTCTGAAACCACCACATCCGGGATGGACTGCACCGGTGCGTACCGGACTCCGTCTCTCGCGGAGGGATCTGATGATCCGATGGATGTTGGTGGCAGCCTCCTTGAGCTCACTCATGTCATGCAACACGAAGAAGGCCGAGACAGCTGTGCGATGTTGTGACAAGACATGGTGTTCTGTGGCTCCCTTCAAATGATTGGTCAGTGAATTGTCACATGGTTTGTCTCGGAGAGGACACATAAGGAAATGGCCTGGACTTCGACTGTGACCTGAGTTCGACTACCAGACTGGAACCTGTGCAGGTTTGGAAACACACCTCAAGCAAACCTTTTTTTTTTCCGAAGCAATATCAACCTGTACTCACACCAAACCGCACAAAATGCCACAACACGCACATAGTGCGACAAAGTCCTGCTGCTTATCACCCCATTCACCCCATGTCATCCCCAAAAACACTCCCTAATCATGCCACAAAACACGTGAAATCCACACCTGGTGGTCTGGTGAAGCCCGAAACTCACGTCCCTCCGTCACAGAACACACCGATTCACGTTCACGTCACCTCTAAAGCTTCCCCCAAAGGCGGCATCAATGGGCTGCTGGTCGCCCTCGGCCCCTCTTTCGACCCGCCATTGGAAGCGATCGGGCTTGGAGGCGGCTCCTGGGGCCGAAGATGAGGCAAAGAGCCCTTGTGCGATCCAACGTCCCTGCTAAGCCTCCATCTAAGCCTCCATTCCCCAACTCTCGGCCAGAGGCGGTGCTTTCATTCCCAACAACGGCATACCACTAGAGTTGTGATCTTGGATTCCACATGATCATGAAAATCCACCAAAACAACCCGGAGTGAATGAATGGACCTCACAAACGCATGTCACACTCTGGGAGCGGTCCTTGAGTTCCACGGACATGTCGGGTTGAAGCTGTTTCGAGCTGGTGACCTGCGCGTTTTCTGCCACGAAATCTATCCGCGCTGCAGGATCCAATTAAACCAGGGATCCAGTGTCTCTCTGCCCCCCCCGCTCTCTCTCTCTCTCTCTCTCTGTGGCCGCTCTTCAGCCACCATGAACTCCTGAGGGTGAAAAAAACATTGAAAAAACATGGTGAGTCAAGCCACCCACAAATTAATATGATGTAGTAATCATATCAATTACGCTGATCTTACTGTAACCCCCTCATAACCCCTGAAGGATCCCATCGGTGTCTCAAACCGAGTCCTGCCGGCTTCCATTCGTTCCTCCTCCACCCTGTGGCGCCACCCAGCCACCATCCTCACCATCCTCCAGCCTTATGAGCTGCAAGAAGACTTGACAACGAGCTCTTGGAGGCATTGGGCTCCTCGACGATGCCATCTTGTTGCACCGGCACCGCCTCCGCGTGCTTCTCCACCGACCCACCCGACTCCTCCAGGTGGAGGGGGTGAAGCGGCTCATCCTCGTCGAAGAGCCCGTCCTGGGCCAGGAGGTGGTCGAGGCCCCGGGCCAGGAGGTCGATACGCTGGGCCAAAGCTTGGAAGCTCTCCATATTCAACTTGAAGAGATCGTCCTGACAGTCAAAAACGCAGCAAAAAGAGATGAAGGAGGGAGAATGCTGAGCGCTGGACGGGTGAGGTGCTGCGGGTGTACGAGGAGATTTTCAGAGATCTTAGCGGCAGGTATGGTGTCAATTGAAAGCGGCCTTCTAGAACACGGATGAGGATCCTCAAGAGCCCTCGGACTTCCGCACACGGGGGACCAAATGAGTCAGGGGCATCGCTGGAGCGAACGTCGCTGTAGTTTTTGGTCATGCAGCGCTCTTCGGGTTCACTACAGCATCACTCCTTTTGACTGTTTTCTGCTTCCACGACCTATAACCCAGACACTCCATGTATGCCATATATGCCTACATTGGGGTGGTTTCAGGGGTCAATGTAGGTAAATATGCCAGTCCCATGGAGTGTTTGGGTGATATGTCTTCCGCTTCCATCCAAACGGTGCACCGATGCGTTGCGCTTCCGGTGTCGGTCCGAAACCGGCCACGGCCTGCCACTCGAAGGCGGGTTCAGAATCGCCAGAGTTGCCATCGATGTGATCGGTTTTTTCGCTCTCGTTTTCGACCACCATGTGCTTTGAAGGGGGCCCTGAACCAGTTGGGGCACGGACAAACTTCAAGCCACCAGGGGATTCAAAGCAGTACCCACATCATCATCAAAAAACAAACGTGACCATTCAACAGCCACGTCGAATGTCGTAGATGAATGGAGTGAGTTCGGATGTTCGGCATTGGTTGTTATGTTTGTCATTGTTTGTCTGCCTGTGGGAACGCCGGCAGGGCTTGTCCACCTTCTTACGAGCCTTCTCCAGCTATACGGTGTTCGAATGTCGTGAAGGAATGCAGCACGGGGGAGGAGCTTGGACACGAATCGACAATCCAAACCAGGACACCCGTTCAGGCGTGAAAATTGGTGGCTACCCGGGTGTCTATGAACCACCCCTCAGGGTCCAAACAACACTCCTTGGGCATTGGGGTCTCCTGCTAAATGAATTCAACGAGTCAACCAACAAACCCAGAACCTGAGCAAACCAGGCACAATGATTCTGCGTGTGATCACTGTTTGACCGTCTCCTGCATTTGCAAAGCCCGCTGCATGTTGTACTTGACGAAGCGGGGTGCCGTTTTGGAGTCGTGCACCCAGCGCGACAAGGCAGCGATGAACTCTTCGCTCTTGATCTCACCCTCGCCTGTGATGTCGATCATGTCGAAGAGCTGCTGCAAGTCCGACTCATCCTGAAAACATGGAACGGTTCTGAGTTCTGAGTGTGGTTCGTCTAGCAAGGTTGCAGCTATGGTCAGTCATGAGCAAGGAGTGACTGGCAGCAAAAACGATGTTAGTTCCATATGCCAACACGTTTCTTGTGTTGCCAAGCGCCTGACCAGTACAGCATCGACAGCATCTGATTAACCCGTGCTTCTCGATGAGGCTACAAAATTGAAACACTGCTGATTTACTTTGATTTTTCCCCGATTCCAGTGAATGGGATGCCGGTCGGGCCCTTCCGGAAATAACTAATCATAGTGTTACATATTATATGTTTGACAAAAACACTGTGGGGAGGGCCAACTGACTTGGGAGGAACTCATGTCTGAACCAACCTGGTGCACAATCTCAGCAAACATCTCCCCCCCGAAGTATCATAACAGGGATGGCACAACTAAAACGAACGTTTTTGCACGTCATGTGTTCCTGAAAAGGCCCCCCCCCGAGCAAACCCGGAATTCCACGACCAACGAGGCGTAACCGGCAAGTTCCGCCAAAGATCGATGTCCATGACCCGCAATCTGCTTTGGAACTCCTGATCAGCACGCGCTCCCTCGACCAGCTCTTCGAAGGTCACGATGCCACTCCCGTCCTGGTCCATTCGATCGAAAATCCTCAGACTTCGTGCCAAGGTTACGTGGGGCACGCGTGCCGCATGGTCTCTGGGAGGTCAAGAATGGACACAAAAGCACACACACAAACACCCACGGAGAATCCTATCAGGAATCCAAGTATTCCGAATGAATCTCCGTGGCCTGAGTCGTGGCCCAAAAGCGATCGGCGCATCAAAAATCCGGCAACAAATTTATGCGGCCGAGGAGCTTCTGCAGGCGCCTCCGGTCGCTCATGAAATCCATCTCCAATTCTTCTGCCAAATTCATCACATCTCTCTGGCGAGCTTCAGCAAAGGTATCTACAACCACCTCAAAGAACTTAGAGATGCACGTTGGGAGCGGAGCGAACACAAAGCCACGTTCAAACATATCCGAAATCTGGAACATTCGATGGAAAAATCTGGAACCTACTGTGCTTCGAGCAATCCCCACCCGCCGCGGTACACTCGCAAGAAAACTGGGCGAGGTGTCCCTTGGCCACGATGTGTTGTAGTTGCGGTTGGCGCTGCCGATATATAGGGCTGAAATACCCCCACCAAAGAGTTTGGTCGGCTTGGGCTCTTGCATTATTAAAAGCGCCTGTCAATATACTTCCTACCCTCTTGACTTTTTTGACGCATGCATGCCCCCAATATGTTTGGTCAGGTGCAATTTTTCCGACGCCCCCCAGTTAGTTGAGCTTCTTCCTTACACCCCTTTAATTCCACAAATCCCTCGTCCTATGGTCTTTTGGTCGTGCAGTGCCTCTTTAAACAATGTTCCAACATTCCTTTACTTGCGCAAATCCCTCATCCCATAAGCCTATAACCTGTCTCCATTTCAATTCCAGCGGCCCTTTTCCTGACGCTGGCTCATTTTTGACTGGTTCATGCCTTTGGCAGGGCCCACCAAGTGAAGCGCATAGCCAAATTTGCTTATATGTGAAGCAAAGGTCTCATCCGACCAGGAGACTATGCAGGCCCACTCATTGCCCATCTTCTCTCCGGTCAATGCGAACTTATGGGCGCCCTTCCCTTCCCAAATCTTTTCCCTTCTTTCCCCATCCAATACACTGCGAGCTTTTTTGCGGGTCTTTGGTACCTCCGAGAATGCCAACCCCTCCCCGTGGGTAGTGGAAAGAATGTCAACCACCCAATAAGCTTCCCACATCCTTTCCAGTAAGGTCCGCCTTAAGCTTCTCCAGATCCTTCGTCATAGAGACTCCACCACATAGGTCCTTGATGGTCCTTGCCTTCACGTTCTTATGATTCTTTCCACGGCGCTGCCGTCTTTTCCGCCGCGTTTGCGTAAGTCAACGTCCATGACTAAGAACATGCAGTCACCGGCCAAGAAGGCCTCAGCTTCATCCTGCTCGTCCCAATTGAAATAGCCTGATGCATGCACCTTCCCCTTCTCATCCATCCTCATTTGCTTCAATTGCTCATGCAGTTCCTTCCTGATGTACTTCAACACTCTCATAGCAGACTCTGATCTCATAAACTGCATTCTTGAACCATGAAGCCTCACTTTTGCAGCCAAATATGGGGTCCTGATCATCCCACAACATGGTTCCCCACAGTGCTGTTCATAATCTTGGGGATCCCTCCTCATGAAGAGATTTAGTCTCGGTGACCTCTCCTGATTGACCACCAAAAATTAGAGAAGCATCCGACGAGGTTGGTTCTGCTCGGCTTGTTTCACAAGCTAAGGCAGCTATGTGTTCTTCGGGCCCCTTCGAACCCGAATGGGTTTGTGGAACGTGCCGCGGACTTCAGCCGACAGTCGTTGGTTGGAAGGCGCATTTGGTCAAACTGCCTTCAGCCTCCCGTGAAGAGACCACGTCTGTGCGGAAAACGCATCGCACTTCCGGACGAGACCACGATGATCAGGCTCTGGCTTTTGACCGCAACTCGGCCCACCAGAACGCCGGCCACGGGAGGTGTTGTATGTGTCATTGCTTGTCTGTTGTTTGTTGGTGCCACTGTCTGTTGTATTTGTCACGGCTTCTGGTCTGTCGCCGAGTCGCCCCATCCCGTCATTGCACTGGGTGACGCGCTGCAGCAAAGGTCGAGAAGGTGGGTTGTCTATCTGAAATCTAGCTCCCCTATCCTGTCTGGTGGGGACAAGCATGTGGGTTTAGACCAGTTCAGGGGTTAATCCTGCTTTGGAAAAGCGATGTTGTGAACAACCCCCCAGGCATTCTGGTTGTTAAAGAACAATGAAGAAAAAGCAGAAACGCGAGTCAAGAAACAGACAGAAAAAGCAGCAGGTAGAAGAAGAAAAGGAAGAATTGCAAAAGAAGAACCAGGATAAAGAAGCAGCAATAAGAAGAAAAAGGAGGACAAACGACGACGATGAAAACAGACAAAGAAGAAGCAAAAGACACACATCACACAACACCCTAGGTTTCCATTCCCTAGGGATCCAGTCGTAGCTTCTCAGAAGGTGATGTGTTCGACACTGTTATGTAGGTTTGGAGGGTCCGGTCCAAGTTGGATCCCTAGGGGATTGAGACACCCCAACAAATTTGCAGGGTGTGGGTATGCAGGGTGCACACCACATACGTACCATGGTGCACGTAGAGCGACACAGCTGATTGCATGCCAGGCCAGATGTATGCCAGATGAGCCTGAGTGACCTGTTTTATTCAAGAACCAACCACCCAAAATATGGTCGCTCCGCCCCTGGAAGACCATTTCCATCATTTCCTCTACAAGGGGGTCCTGGTCAGATTCGATTGTTGGAGGGGCTCCCCTTCAATCCTCCCGGCCCTTGTCTTCGTCAAGCATCTGCCACGATGAGATTTAGGACCCCGAAGACTAAGGTCAACAAGCTGCCCATGAAAATAATCGCAGTGGAGGGGTACTCCTTGATCACCGGAACGGCAAGCTCTCCCCAACTATCACCTGCGAAAGAGAGGTTGAGCAGTGAATGGCAGCAGCTGAGCAAGACAGCTGAGCAGCTGAGCAGGGAAAGTGGCTTCTCTGGGCAATCACATGGGTTCCACCCATTTAAAGCTTCTGCGAGCTTGCTGGTGCGTATCACGCAAACCCAAAAAAACACATGAGTTCCACCTCTTTCTTTCCACTTCCACAAGACACAGAAGGTATCCACCTCCAAAGGAACTAAAGGCAACAATCCCAAGAGTCAAAGAACAGCTCAGGAAAAGATTGCTGAAAAGCTAACGGCGAGATCACCGGCAATAACCGTCTTGAACAAGAGTAGGTTCCTCAGTGGCGGAGTCAACAAGAAGTTCATCACCCGGCATCACCCTGCTAACCGCAAACCCAACCTGGCAGCTCGAAAACATGCCCAAAAAAGGTCACATGGGTGCTCAGCACTCCACTATGGCCCTAATCAGATTCCTTGCATCAAAACTGGCTGTTTAGGGATCATTCAGTGGTTGGGTCCGGGGGCTCCAGGTTGTGGGCCGAAAACAAACCCTGCATGTTTCACACAAAACGACCTTGGAGGGGGGTGTCCATTCCTGATCATACATCCCCTATGGGGGTGCTTTGGTCCATCTTTTTCCTCACGCTTGGGGAGATACCAAGTCTCGTGTGATGTCTTCAGCACGTTGTTTCGGTCTCTCGTTCTCCCTTTTTGCGAAGACATCCCGACCGTCGCCGATCGTTCCTTCGATCGTTCCTTCGATGTCCGAGCAGCGCATCCATCACCGACGAGGTTGCCGTGATGCAATACTCCGCACCTTGGCGAAACAAATTTCACATGTTTTAACTTTGGGTCTATTACCAGGGCCCAGTGGATGATGGTTAGGTTCCAGGCCGATCATTCTTTACTGACTGTTACAGGTAATAGTACAAACCAAATTTTACGGCTTTATATGGTTTAGTTAGAAATTCTAGACGATGGTTTGGGTCTGGTTGAGTACACTCCAAGGCACTGCAGTCTTGCAGCTCGCCAGCGGAATGCAACTCCTCGCCGGTGAGCATGGGGAAACCACCAACCACCAGCTCTACTTTTGGACAGCGAGGGTCAAAGAGTAAGTACATCAAAACATGACACCTTGCTAAGACACTTGGTTGTAATACGTCCTGGTAATATAATCTCTTGTGAGGTTTCCCCAAGCATCTTCAAACTGTGAAAAACACAATCATGACCGGCCAAAGGAGGGATTCGTGGCAAGTGTCGCAAGAATATTGGCCTTGGAAGAGCAAAGCTCGGCCGTTTGCTCAAAACGATAGGTTACCAATCTAAGTTACGCCAACCCATTCATCCAGCTTGCATTTGAGAAAAAAAACTCACATCAAAAAGGATCAAAGAGGCCGACTCTAACATCCTCATCATCGTGTGACCCATTACAGAAAGGACCAGTGTGGTACCCATCCGACTGCCGAAAAAAAAAAATAAAAGAAGAACACACCGTCGGCACATCTTGACACCCCACAGAAGTCTGGTCCGACCTCGTGACACCCATACTGACACCGCACGGCCGCACGGCCGGACCGGGTCTCCTGGACAAGGGGGTTGATGACCTCGACAATCAGCATCGCCCAAACCTGGCGTTCGACCGCAAAGGTGACCAGTGGGCCCGAAGCAAACCATGAAGAATCAAGGTGTTCACACACCAAAACCAGGTTTTCACTGGGTTTTCCCAGGTGTTTGGGTTGTTGGTGAGCCCATGGTTACCATATCTAGTCGTCAATTCGACCAACAGTTCCTGGGGAGCCGAACCGAGTCCGTGGGCTGGAACCTGTGTCGAGTCGCCCTTCCTTCACACCTCGATCTAGCCTATAGGAGGGTCTATCAAGTGGCACGGGTGCAGGCGCAGCTGACTTCCTTGATGCGCGCAGCTGGCTGCACGCCAACATCTCTTTCCCAATCCCTATAAGGATCCAGTCGTATCTTCTCAGAAGGTGATTGGAGACAGTGTTATGTAGGTTTGAAGGTCGCAGTGCCTTCTGAGGGTACTTTCCTGGATCCCTCGTGATCTAAGCACTTCCTCATAGACCGGCCGGTACAGCCGATGTCGCACATCCCGGCACATCCACGCGTACCGGCGCCACTGAGGTTGTGGAGGGCCGAAGAAACACGACATGGCTATCACAGGACATATAGGACTTGCACTGGTTCCAGTCAAGCGAAAAAGAACAACCACAAACGCAAACTTCGATTCCACGGTCCTGCTCTTTCTGACACTTTCGCGGGGTTGCATGATGGGGCATGCTCCAAACATGAGAAGACCATAGAAGACCTGAAACACCTGGCAGGTGGAAGGACGACTTCTCCTTGCTTTCGTGACCCCGACCAGGTCGTCGCCCAAACCAGACCCGGCACTCCGTGCGTGCACCGGTGTCTGTTCCGGTGTCGTCCGTTCCGCCCAGGCGCTGTCATGCAAACAAAGCAAAACCTCGGCAGCGACACGGACCAGGTCGGTCACGGACCAGGTCGGGCCGTGATGGGCCGTGTGACCGGCCGGATGAGGACAGCACGTGAGGATAGCACAGGTCGGATAGTCAGGACATCTATGAATGGTGAGAGGATCATGTACTTCGTCATATATGCCTAAACTTGCAGTTCAGGATCATTCCTTTCAGCCACGACATGCGAATTCGGGCAAGGACTGCAATTGGCATGCAGGGGGGCCTTGGAGGCCACGACAGCCAGTTGAAACGCCGAGTGGAACGGATGTTGCCCCGTCTAAGGGAGTGTGATGTGAACGTCTGAACACCCACAGCCCTCACCCATTTGCATCCAAACTGCACGAATGACCACAACAAAGCCTGGCGCAGGAACCGAACAACCATTTCATGTGGCCATATCGCTTCTACATGCTTCTGCAATACAGCACACGTCAAGCCTATGGGCTGTAACAGTGAGCACGATCTAGAGGTAAACTATGGTAAAATCTGTTTACTGACTGTTACAGCTATTTGGCATGACTCAAACAATACAGCAGTTGTCGAACTTCACTTGACCGTCCATCGTGTTTCATACCGCTGTGAAAAGGGAACTGGCAGGCTTGGCATGCATCCAGCAGTTTAGCCAGCAACTTCGCCATGACCTTCAACCAAACCAACACAAATCTTGCAGCCCAGAGGGTGGGTCTCTACAGCCCCATGAACCAACGTTGCCGAGCCCCGGCACGCGTCCACGCTGCCCCCGGAGGGAAAGGATCGATCCAGACGTTCGCCGAACGGTTCGATGTCAACCAAGGTTCGCCTCCAACTGACTCCCTCAGTGAACCTGCATAAAGCTCAAGCTACTCAAGCTTCTTCTTGTTCAGTGGGGAAGCCAAGTCCCAAAAAACAGTTACAGGTTATGCCATGACTTGGTAGAGCGTCGTCTCTTCACGCCCCAGCTGCGCCTTCAAGCAGGTGGCCATCATTCGAATGAGCTTATGCAGCTCCCGGAAGCGCCGCGTGCGCGACACGATGCGCGTGAGCCGGACGATACGAATCAATCGCAGCGCACGGCTCAAGCCAATCTTGGAGATGTCCTGTCGGTGCCGTCGCGCGGAAGGGGTCATGGCCGGGCATGGTGGAATGAACATACAGGAACAAGAATAGAACAAGTGGGGGAGGACTGGACTTGGTAGCTTTGGCAGGTGTCCAACATTTGTTCGATCCAAAGATTAGAGAAACAAAGGTCACAATGGGCCCTGGATGGATGTGGAAGCTCCAAACATCATGATTAATTGACCTGCCGGATATTGAACCAAAAAAGGTGGCGGCGATACAGCAAGAGTCGCCGTTGTGGAGGGGAGGAATGGAGATGCCCAGAGTATGCCGCTGGCCTCCATGAAGGATACAACGGAGGCAACTGCAACTCAAAGATTGCAACTGAGACAGTAACACCCTCAAAAGCCACAAGGTGTCTCAAACTTCTTTTCATGCCATACTAGCGATGGTGCCGAGCAAAAGAAGTGGTCCACGTCCATGGCATCGCGAACTTCGATGCAATCTCCAGCGTCTGTCCTCTCCACTGCCCAAGGCTTGAAGGAGCTTCTCCAGGATGCCGCAAACTGACAGAAACACAGCGACAAAGAAAAGAAAATCATGCGCGAAACCCACCAGAACCCTCCAAGGGGTGTCTATTTATAGCCCCTTAGCTGTTAAGGGGTGCCTCTCTGAGCAATAGAAGCCTAGAGGGTCTTGGGAGCTTGATTTTTGGTGTGTCACTTGCGTCATCTTGCGTCGCGGGTGGGATGTCCCATATTGGCTTAGCTTCACCAATTCCAATCCGATTCAATCCTAAGCCTTAAGCGGAACCCTTTTTCGCTTCAAAGTGTCATGCAGGATCCCCAACTTCAAGCGGAGAAAAAACACCAAACCCTGAGCAGCCGTTTTTTCAAAGACTCATGGGGCACCACTTGCAACTGCGAGCGTGCCCAAACCGTAAATCACGCTATGTTGACCGCCTTTTCAGAACATGTGTGCCTTTTCGCTAGGAGCAAGGACGCCGTTAGGTTGCATGGAGGCCATCGCTACAACGGTGGAGACCAGTACTACTAGTAACTAGGAAGCTACGAGTAGCTGGAAGCTATTAGGTTGGAGCCCATCGCTACTAGGTTGGAGGCCATTACTACTAGTAACAAGAAGCTACTAGTTGGAGGCCATCGCCCCAAAAAGCACTCTCAGGTCCTCTCAGCTCTGTCCAGTCCACCCCTCAAACCTCAGAACTATCGCCCTCCCGGCGAAGGGGTGAACGGAGGCTGTTTGGGGGACCAGCCATGTTCGCCTGCCCCACGCCACCACGGTCTCTGCGATCCCATCATGCCGGGTAGCCGATCACCACACAGTCCAGCTGAATCCCCATGGATCGAAACACTTGACACCCATCCTCGCACGAGCGGTCGCGCGGCGTCGCCAAGCGCGCCAAAGGACGGCCAGCATGGAGGAAAACAGGTCGGGGCCTTGAAGTCAGCGTTTCTGACCCGAGAAAATTACAAGTAAATGTGTTTGAATTGCACTTTTGGGAGGGCTGTGGAAACGAACATGTTGTTTGATGCTGTTTGAACATCTCGTTCCAACAAACCTAAGTTGACTCAACACAAAGGGCATGGTTGCTCAAAAGTCCATAAGAAAGCTGGCGCGGGTTAGAAAGTGGAGACCTTCCTTCTCTTTAGGTTGAAGTAGGCGAGAGTAGGGAGATCACTCTCCCAGGGCCCCGAGAAATATCACAGAAACTGCTAGAAACCAACACTGGGCTCTGGTGTGAAGAAAGTGTAAATACCTCTCCGCATCATCTTCCTGTCCATGTCACCCAAAACACAACCGGTAGAGTCAGAGTGGTAGCGTAAAACACGAACCCGGCAAAATGGAAGATCATGCTCTCCCTTTCAAGGCCCTCAAACTTAAAGCAGGTAAAGTGATCCAAGCAGAAAGATCACCTGATCCAGGAGGTTCCTGGTAAGAACTAGTCCCTGCCTTTTTCTCTGCAGCCTAGGCTCCACTTTTGCTCGAACATGGTGACCGGTTCGACCAGTGGACCACCCCCAAGTGCAGGACTGCTACCGTCCCTACTCCTTGTGATGCATACGGACCTCCAAAAAGGTGCAACGGGTCCATCGTTTCAACCGGACCTCCCTGCGGACCACGTCAATTCGGTTCGTTCGAAAGGTGCTTTTGCTTCGCTGAATTCACTTGGCCACTCGTCACTCATACCGTCATCCACCTTCAAAAAAAGAAACACGACAAGCATCCGAGAGGATGCGCGTCATCAACTCAATGGCATAGAGAGCTAGGCAAACATCTGACCTCGTTTAAACAAAGTAGTTTTCCATTGTGTGTGGAATTAGCCCCCAAAGACAAAACTGGACACCTTCAAAGTTAAGTTCACCCCCAAGAAATAGATTATACAACAAATACGGCGTGGTCTCTCACGGATGGAACATCAATGAATTTCTCACACAACTTCCCTAAATTATGGCATCCCGGGAGGGGAAGCCTCTAGAAATTGCGCGAACAAACATGCAAAACTTCATGCAACATCTGCAGTGGGAAGGAATCCCAACACAGGATGGCGTGGAACCCTATTCAGTAGACACCTATATACCCCAATTCTCCCCCTCATGTCTTAGCTGAATTCAGGGAAAAAGGACACATAGAGCTTGGGTCTATCCTACTAACAGGGCCCAGTGGTTACAGGTTTACTGGGACAAACCCAAGCTGGCCCAAGCAAAAGAGTCGCATGAAGACCCCCAAGCTTGTCGTCCGAAGACCTCCCCAAGGCCGGGAACCGGTCCGAAGGAAGGGCGCGATGGGGCGGCTTCCGGTGTTCCGCACCCGAACCGGGTGGTTCGCTCGGCCGCTTGGAGCAAGGGTCAGAGAACGCCTGATGGTTGTCCATGAAAAATCCCGGATTCGACCACTGTTTCGGTGGGGATCATGTTGACACAGGATATCCAGGCCCCCCACCCCCTATGAATCAAGCCCGGCTGCGAGCCCCCCATACTCCCATACTATTTTAAAACCTGATGTCCATATGTCCATCACCCTAAATTTCCTTGGCATCAAAGCTCCCCCTATTAATCAAGCCCAGCTGCCCGGCTTCCCCAGAAAAATACAACAATATAGTTCACACTATTATAGTTATATATTATAGAACATTATATATCTGTATTATTACTTTTTTTTGTGGGGGGATGGGGGGACTAGTATTCATCCATCATTCATCATCCTCCTTCTTTCTCATCATATTTGTTCTTCTCATCCTTCCCTGATAAAACACAAAACAACTCGCTAGCAAAATTCGTTCATTCTCCCTTACTAAAACTCTATCAACATCTTAAAGCTTTCAAGCTCACAAAGGGGTACCCCTCACACAGGCCCTACCACCCTCTAATGGTAGGGGCCCCTTCCCCGATTACTCAAGCCCACCCTCTGGCCTCCATCTTCCATTTCTTTCATCCTGCAATCCTCTTTCTTTTCCTAATCATCCCAACCAAAGAAAGAATCTAGTCTTCCTTCTAAATCATCCCAATCATCCCAATCCCAATCTTGCGAAAATCTTGTCATCATCTCATCATCTATCATCAGGTCATCACCTTTATTAAGGGGATGCGGTCTCCAAATACCTCCAATCTCAAACCTTGTTGATCTTGTTGACCTTGAAGGGGGGGGGGTCCGTCTATTAATCCGGTGTTGACATTACTCTCAAACCCGTTGAAGACTGGGTGGAGGCTCCCATGCCAAACAAAAGGTTCTTTTTTGCACCAAGCCAAAGCCAAGGAACAGGATGAGGGTGGCTAAGGGTGTAGATCTGTCATCGGCTCTGGCGTCGATGTCGTAGACAGCGCAGCAGGCATCGATGATCACCACAAGGACCATGAGGTTGTCAAGGCTGGCACCTGATGCAACTCGACACACATCGACCGACTCCCACGAGGCGATGCCCAGGTCTTCAAGTAGAGAATCCAAACGTCCGCGAAACCATTCTGATTATAAGTCTACACCTGGGATTCCAATGTCGATGTCTCCTCATGACATTGATTAATGTCGAAGTTAAACTTTGACTTTGAGGTGCGTTGATGTTTAACCAACACATAGTCATGTCCACTGTTTCAACAATATCCTTGAAGCTCGGGTCTTTTTCACTGCCTTCTGAGCTTTATGTTTGGAAGTCACCACTTTAGCGTCTTCATTCTCATCCGTGAGAGACCATAGAATTGAATCGGCATCTATGTAATTGCTGTATGCTATCAGGGGTTTGGACCCTCCGACGCCTGTTGTGTTTTTGATGTACGTTGGGAAGCCATTTGTGCTCAGCCTGGTGTGTGTGTGTGTGTGTGCGCGTTTTGTTTGCTTGGACTCCATTCGGTTGCCACGTTTGCTGCCAACGAAAGGGGCGCGAGGAACGATGATTGCGCTGATCCGCAGTACCGGGCCGCGCGTACTGAACACATGTTATGTTGAGGCGATGGTGCTGGTTATGCTGTATGCATGAGTGGATCTATAGCGCAAGGTACCCAAACATGCAGCCTCTTCAAATATATACCCACTTGATTTGATTGACTCTGGGACCAAGGCCAAAAAAAACAAACCTCCAAAAACACCAGTCGGGGTTGTCTCAAATCCCAAATACCTTTCCCCACAACAACTCCGAAGCTTTGGGCCCCTAGCACGCCTTTTGACCGCATCCAGTTTTTGTGGTCTCTGATGTCATGTGTTTGGTCGCGCGCGCATCCACTGCATCAACGCCTCGTATCCAAACCTTGGGCCTGCTCCCACCTCGGCCACTCTACGGTCAATACCCAGACACGACTGCCATAGGACTGCCGCCCGGACCCCTCTGGCACCACCTCTGGCCTTTTCTCGGCAGTCCGGACTGGCAGTCCCAAACGGGTCGTGTCTGGGATAAAACATGCTACAAACTTCTCGCCTGACGACACCCCCCACTTGACAGTCGACTCTGCCAGCTGAAGCCCCAGAGTCATACGAGTCCTACACATTGCGTTTGTTCCCTAACCCTCAATCAGCTCCTCAGAAAGGTATCAACAAAGGTTGAAGAACCCTAGTTCGACTATCCCATAGGTACCACAGGTTACAGTAGAGTCCTATTTACGATCACTTCACCTTTGTTGGTACTTGGGCTTCGTCATCAGTGCGTCACGCTCCGGGTTTCTTCGGCCACGTGGCGCGTCCAAATCCGGATCATGGGCTCCTCGCGGCGTGTCCAACGTCCAAAACAACCCCCCCGGTCCAGGACCGGGAGACGAGTCATGGAACTCGTCCCTGGCAGAGATACCACGGATCACCACACAAGCGTGGGCCAAAAAGAACCAAACACCGATCCGCGAGAACGGACGCCATTCACCATTCTATACAAGTACAATCCCTTCCATTGGATTCCCAAAAAAATATCGAAAAATGACGGACAGACCGACAGCCAGTACGAACTGGGACCGTTTTTGTCGGCCTTGAAAGAAGCAACAGAACTGGGATGTTTATTTCCTCCATATCAAGGGACCCGTCCGTTCAGAGGTGCCAATTGGCGGCTAGCTGCCAATTGGTGTGTATGAACCACCCCTAATGTAGACGTAGACTCTTGATGAATGACTCGTTTTAGTGGTCATCCTCTTCATATAGGAGGCTTATTCATCAAGAGTCTACATTAAGGGATGTCTGACCCACCCCTAGACAAAGCATTCCAACAACCACCCCATAAACCGGGATCTCCAAGCACACTTGAACATGGCTGCGGTCTCCAAACACCTGGGGGCCATCCTCTCAGGCGCGGTCACCGTCCGACCGAAGCCGCTCCTGGTGAACATCTTGGGAGCTGCTAATGAACTTTGCCGCGACCCTCATGTTCGGAGCGGCACCTGGCTTTTCACATACGACGTGCGTTTTTTTTTTACACGGGCACCACCGAAGATGACACGAGCCCGTCGTAGAAGGAGGTGACACACCAGGTGGCCTTTTGATTTATGTCTTCTTGACGAGCATTGAACACCATGGTAGCTCCAGTAGCTATAGCTTTGAGTTGGGTCACTCCGTGGCACAACCATGATCAAGTTCATCTGTACCACAACCAGGCTTGTTGATAGATGTTGGATCGATTTTGGAAATCAAAAAGCAATAAAAAAAATGATATAAACCAGGAGTCACAACGGGGTGGTGTTTAGTCCCATCCAGTGAGTGGATACTGGGCACCCCTAACCTCCATGGATCGCACCCCTTACCTTGTGACTGCTGGACATGTATGATCATGTCCGTTCCTTCTTCCTTCATCAGCTTCACCTCAAATCGAAGCCTAGACGGTCAGCGCCCGTCCGCCTCATCTGAGACGCTCGCTCGCCTCATCCCCGAACCGCGCCTCGTCGCCCAGCCGAATCGACGCTGCAATGACTGCTGCGCGTCGCCACCGTCACCGGGGTGTCGTCCCCCGAGGGATTCATCGCTGCGACTGGGGCAGACTGGGCGGCACTGGGGCAGACGGCAGACTGGGTGCCCAGTCTGAGTGGTCTCGGCCTAAGAATTCATCCTTGTTCCATTTTTTGAGTTGTTGTGTCTTCTCTTTTTTCGTGGTGATTTGATGCTGATTCCAGACCTGGAATAGAAAAGATGTTTCTGATACGCCGGCATTCAAGAATGCTTTGTGCTTTGTTGCTTGATGTTGGCTTGCTCAAGTGCATCCAACAAAGCTAGGTGCCCTTGTAGTACATCCTGGCTGTTGCTGATCCATCGGTCGGCCCCGCCAGATGGGGCGGAGCCTCCCCTGGGTTCGATCTATAACTGGCGACGCAAGCGACCCATGAACATGGTGGGGGAGAAGAATCACAACAATTGCCTACTGAAAGCAAACAGAGGGATCAAAATGATCAAGTGGAGTGGCATCAATTTCTTCATTACACCACCCTTTTCATCCTTTTTTCACCCGTAACAAACCCAAAAAGGCATGGTCTGCCAGGAGCAAAGCATGACACTCCACGGCACGTTGCCAAACAAAAACACAGAAATACAATCAAATACACGGAATGGGACACACGTCTGGCCCACCTTCATTGCCAAAACAGAAAAACAAATGTCTGAGTTAGCTAAGATCCTTCATCGCACTACCAAAAACCTCCGCTGGCAAGCACGTGATTTAACAAAGCATGCATTGCATCGTGGCAGGGTGGCATCGAACACATCTCAGAAGGGTTTGGCATCGAACACATCTCGTGTGTCACAATCCGTAGTGTTGGCTGAATCCACGGCTCAGACCCCGAAAAGGAGGATGGTTATATACTGACCGGAAGTCGCTCCGACGCATCAAATGGTGTTTTTTTCCGCATCTTTGCATCTTGGGGCAGGTTCTGGGACTTTTCTGAGGGAGATTTACTTTTCTCCCATTTCGAAGGGGGTGCCGCGGTCATTGCAGAGGCAAGAGAGGTTGAGAGAACCGTTGAGAGGTTGAGACGCAGATTTTTCCCATAGGAAAGTGACTAAACATTTGCAATGTGCGGTTCAACCAGGGGCTGTTCAAGCTCTCTTGGAGGTCGGTATCTCGATGCCTTTCAGACCATCCTTGTCGGACAACTTGGAAGCAACATGGCGCTGTATAGCAGAGTCGGACTATTGACATACCACGACCTCAGAAAATGGTTCTGTTGACAGATCAAATTCCGCAACTAAGCCTCCCAAAAGTGTGTCAAAGCTACATCTAAGATCGATATCTCACAGCCAAACCAGCTCTGTTCTTGGAGGCCCAAGAAGGGCAAGTTGTTGATTCACGCTCGCAGCCTGTGCCCCAACAACCTTTAACATCCCTAAATCCATAGCTCAGTGATGCTCAGTTCTTTCACTGGCAACTTGTTGGGTATTCCTGGTCCAATTGTTAGATGTTATCACGTTGCTCCGGTCTTTTGCCGTCGTGCGGCGCCGCAGAAGACGTGATGAGCAGATGCGGCTTTTCACATGTTCGATACATACCAAACAAACATGCGACGTAGATGCCTTTTTTGCCTTCTGCCACCAAGATGTCAACGAACTGTGTCCTCCCAAGGGACGCCGGAGGAAAACCAGCTTTTGAAAGGAATCTGAGTCCTGCATCACCTCTTCCCCCCAAAAAATAAGTCTGGTTGTTCTGTGAAGTTCCAACACCGTGTGACACGCAAATGAACTCCGAAGTCTTTCAGTGTTCTTTGTATGTCCTTGTCAGTCTTGTCATCTATGAGGGGAGGCTTAATTTAAGACCTTTCTGCTTTGTGATTGTTCAAGATGCAACTGGACAAAGAGGGTTTGGTCTGCCCACCCTCATTCTTCCGCCCCCCTTGGGAGAAGCTAGCAGCAGCACAGCGGGACCATTGGCCAGCGTTCCAGGGATGCAGCAAGGCGCCGTGTGTGACATGGCCAAAACATGCCAAAACTATCATTATATAACTGCTTCCGCAAAGACATCTATCCAGCACCTTCAATTCCACGCCAAAAGGCATAACATACGCCATCAAAAATGTCCTTTCCTGCGAGTGTTTTTGGGGTTGAAGATCCAAATGCGATGCCGGCTGAGAATCAGCTTGCATGTCCATCACACACGCCTCTTATTAGTGTTGTGGGAGGTCGTTCTTGTGATGTCTGTGTTTCTTTAAGCCAGCCTTTTGGCACTGCATGGGCCAAGTGCATGTCCGTTTGGGCCGACGTGAGGTGGGAACCGCACCCTGCGAGTCACAAAGCTGGTCTAAAGGTTTGAGGGTCATCAGGGTCTACTCTTCAGCTCTTGTAGACTCTTGATGAAGAAGCCCAGAGAAAAGCCACCCACATGTTAAAGCCTCTTCGAACCGACACACGCTACCAGCAGTCACATGTCGGGGTGCTTAATCCAGGTTAGGGGTGCCCATTACCCACTCACTTAGGGACTAAAAACATCTAAAAACCGCCCCTTTGTGACTCCTGCCGTAGATGAAGCGAATCTTCGTCCATTCCATCCCTGGCTCCGTGTCCGGCCCGGCCGGAGTTCTTGCCGCAGGTGTCTTCGTGTGTGCGCTGCCATGTTTCTGCGCTGCGAGCAGCAGCGGCCAACGAGTTCTCAGCACCGGTCGCAGACCCCGTTCATCCCCTTTCCATACAAGAAAAAAGGAACAAAAGCGTTTTACAAATTGAACCTCCAAGAACATCCTGATCACCATGGACAGCTAGCAGCTAGCAGTCTAGTCTATGACCGTCTGTACTGGGGAACAGCGGGAATCCGGCGCCCATGGCAAGGCACCACGGAATCCGAATGGCTTGCATTGCCACTTGGGAGCAGAAACCAGGCCCCAATTTTTTGGGGACCCAGCAGAGCTAGTTCAGCGAGTTGTTCATGCTTCCGAATCCCTCTTTGAGGGTGCTTTTTTCAAACGCACTTCCACAGGGGGAAGCTGGGAAGCTCTTATTTTTATAGATTTTTCGCCGAGGATTTGCTGAAGAAGAAGAACCTCCTCTTTCCTACTCTCGCAACCAATATGAGACCAAACAAATCACAGCAATCAACATCACCCATTGCTCCAACCTTCGCCCCAGTCTGTGTTTACAGATCTTCCACCGGCCACGTGCCTGGGTGAGACGTACTTCTTCCAGATTGGATGAGGCTGACGCAACGTCCCCCACCTGGGTGGTTGTTTGGTTTCCGTTTCGACGGACCGGGACCGCTCGTCCCAGATCGGGTGGGCTCGGTCCGTTCTGGTGGTAGCTGCGAAGCTAGGTGAAGCCAGGTGACCAGCTTTGAAGCTGGCATAGGCTGGCTTTTTTCCGTAGATCCTCATGGGGACCGTGGGATGGGGTGCCCCAAATGACTCGGAAATCCATGATGACCATGCGTTCTGGCCGAATGGCAAAGAGGCGGTTAACTCACTCCACTTCACTTCCACTTCCATGTTCGAACTGGTATTAATGCGCGCTCGGAAGACATGGAGCATATGGCCAGGTATACTCAGAGGGGCCCCATGTGGTGGCCCAGTGCAGAACATGTCACCTCATTGAAGTCGGGCATCAAACGCCTTTCCTTCCTCAAATCAGAGAGTCACGGCTGGTGCGCGCAGTCTCGGATGGGAGACCAGTTTGATGTTTTCATGTGTTTTCCGGTGTGACGCAGTCACCGTCACACTCTCCGGCCGCCCACACCGCTCCCCACACTTCTTCTCTTCCCCACACCGAGTGGCGAATCATCTCAAAACGAATCCGGCAGCATAGTGCTTGGTGATTCGACGGTAGGGAGCAAACCTGCCAACGGTAGGGTGCAGGTGCTCGCGAGTGCTCGCGATCTGCGATCTGCGAGTGCTCGCGATCTGCGATGGTGCCGGGTGTCGTGGTGTGCCGAAACTCGGCCGTTTGGGTGCATGATGGTGCATGAACTCCAACTCGGAATCCTGAATGAGCACAGGACGACAAAGCCCAAGAAGAACAATCATTCCAAGATAGATCCATGATCCATCCTTTCGTATACCAATGACGGATCCAATGAAGATCCAGTATGTATATATTATATATAATAATATTCTTCTTCTTCTTCTCTCCAGATTCTCATCTTGACCTTCCTTTCTCTCGTTTCTCTTCTCCCAGTCGCCTGGACGTGCCGTGGGGCTGAAGCCCGATCGCTCATTCGAGCCTCTGGACCTGCACACACACACACGCGCGGACCTGCACACGTGGACGAAGCGTTTTTAGAGGATCCATGGAATCCATGGGATCAGAAGATTTACCATTGAAACCTCGAACCAATCAACCAATCAACGAACCAACCAACCAACCACCCCTGGCCCTTTTCCATGGAGTGTCTGGGGTTGGGACTAAATATATTTGCCCAGAAAAGGCCAGGGGTGGTTGACTTGGGGCCAAGGGGACGGCATTTTTGTTCCATTCCCATTTTGAGTGTCTGGGCATTGGGTTGGAAGATCTCCTTGTTTGAACTTTGCCATATTCCTATATGCTGTTGACACCAAATGCAAGTTGCACAAGCTTCTGTGTTTTTCCTGCCAATTTTCAGCCTTTGGGGTCCCAAACAGGCTGCTTATTCGATAAATGGGACTGGAAGATATATGACGATATGAGATATATATATATATAGAGGTCCCCAAATGGTTTCCAATACATAGGATTTTACTTTTCTATCTATTTTGGGGTCTATCTATGACGTCCCACTGGCCCCTTTTCAACCACCCCTGGCCTGATCGGTAAATAGGCCAGCCCATGGATGCTCTCGGGTGGGACACTTTTGTTAACATGGTGGCATGTGTGATGATTCTCACGATTCTCTCAGTGCAACTGGTGGATCTGAAGGCAAACCGAGACACCATGCAACCACTGGCATGTTGGTCACAGTAGAAGCCACCACCAAACAATCCACTGGCATTACAAGAAGCCAAAGGGTGAAGAAATATTGCACTTCCAAAAGCTGGTCAAGTCTCCCGTGGAACAAGCAAGGCTAGCCAGGTGTCAGTTAAGATCTGAAATGAGTCAAATGAGGCATTAGGAGCAAGGACGCTACGAACGGGGCTCCTGGCATCGCTACTAGGAACAAGGACGCTACGAACGGGGCTCCTGGCCTTACTAGTATTTGTTCCAAAGTCCCCGGGCAAAAATTGACACGGTTTGTCCAGTTTCCATGCAGGTTTCTCCCAACAGCGTGGTGGAGGAACCAGTGTCATGCGAAAGGAACACGGTTCCCAGCTCACGTGGGCTCTTCCCAAAACCGGACATCCCCCCACGTTGGCACACTTTTCCCAAAACGGTCATGGCATCGTCAAAACTTCGAACCCAACCAACTCTCCCCTGGAAGTCCAAAGACCTTTTTAAAACTGGTTGATGTAAAATCCTCAGTAAAACCGTTGTTGGGGATTCAGGCTATTTTCCAATACTGGTGGACCACGACTTCTAGGCTTTTGACTGGTCAACGATCACCTTATTCGGTGCAAACAACACAGTGGACCGTGTGGACGACGGGGCGAGGCCTTTGGAGCTGCATGCTGGCAGTGCCCGGTGGACTAAATCCACCGATCAGCGGCCGGGGCCTCGGACGAGACGCCGCCGGATCGTCGGGCGGCGGGGCCGTGGAAGTTCAAAGGATCCTTTGACCTGGTCTGCGTTTGAGGTAGGCCTCGATCAATGATAGATACATGATACAACGCCCGGGAAAAGAAAAAACACAAACCATATTATATCGATTATATATAATACAAACCTGAATCTTCCTAGGGCTGCACTTTTTGCGCCTCCAATCTAGAAGGCGCCTCTAGGAACTGAGAGGCAATTGTTTTTGCAAGAGGCGATTCTTGTGTTACATAGATTTCTCCCCAGTTATGTTGATAGAACATATGATAACCGTGATAACAATGAAACTTATACACTTAACATATAGGAAAAACACCACAAACCCCGAACCATGAACCAAAACATAAGGTATATGCATTCAAAAGGTTCAAGCATGATAAACCGTGAAACACATGAAGGCATGATAACTCACTGTGGAAAAGTGAGCGCACACAACATGAAACTATATAGATATATATATATATATGAACTGCTAATTTTCCACTTGGAGTTGCCTGCGAAAAATGACCCCCACAAGTCCGGCTTTCCCCTTCAAAACCTGCATTTCAGGCAGGTCGAACCGGACTTGTGGGGGTCTTTTTTGCAAGGAAAATTGCAAATATGAACATGATATCGCGCAATTTGATAAACACACATGAAAACATGAAACACATGAAAAGCACATGAAAAACCTGAAATACATGAAAACACATGAAAGCCACATTAAAAACATGAAAGCACAGGAGAGCCACATGAAAAAAATAACACATGAAACATATGAAAAACGCAAAATACACGAAAACACACATTAAAGCACATGAAAAACATGCAACATAAGCAAAACCATGAAACACGTGAAACAACGAGAGGCGGAACTTCCCGGGTAAGAGGCGGAATTCCCGGGTTATGAATTTTTTGCATAGTATTTAATTAAGTCGACAGGTTGCCGCTTTCAGGCTCGTCTCTACTCGAAAGGGGAAATGGCGTATCAGCTTCCATCCCGTGTCTTTTCGAGTTCGACCCTGATGGCTGGTTTGACGTTAGTGAAAGAAGAGAAAGATGTGGACAAACTTGATGGTGACGATGCAACCCTGATGTCAGAGCTGCAACAACCGCAGGTGGGGCTGTTCGTTTCTATAGGTATTGATACTCACCTCTAGTCAGTGTTTTGGTCTCAACATTTCCTGGCTAAACATGTTGGCTTTGTTTTCTGCCGGTTGCAGGCGCTCAGGTTGCAAATCCAGCAACTGCCTACTCCTATGAACTCTGCCTTGAAAGACCTCCAAACGCCGAACACCTCGGAGAGTTACGTCTTGCCTGATGATGAAACTCAAACGGCTGGTTTGGGCTTGGACGCAGTTGCTAGCAAGCATGATGAAAGTCTGTTTGCTTGGGTTTGACCGATAATCTTTTATCATGTTGATATCATGTTGATAGCTGTCGGCAGCAGCAGCGGAAGACCACCAAAAACATTACACATGACAAGATTCCCTTCTACCAGAAAAGCACGAGAGGCAGTTTTTGTTCTAAGCGGCAACTCTTGAATGGAGAGGCTAACATTTGAGCCTCTCTGCTAAGAGGCTGAGAAAAGCAACCACCGGAGGTTTAAGGTATATAATTATATGCAATATCTATGACTGAGCCTTTTCCATGTTTGATCCAAGCCCTCGAGGGTCTCAATAGGTGAAGTGATCGGAAACACAAGCCTGGACGTTCCGTACGTTTGGATCAGCCCGGACGTTCTCACTGGGTTTTTCAGTTGGGCTGATCAATGTCATCTTAAGTCTAGTCATTCTCTAAACAAATGATCTGCTACAAAATATTGGCCAAACAGAACATTGAGATGCAAACAAACATATCAAACAGTCTGCAGTCCTCCGAAAACATATGACCAGTGCTGAGTAGCGTCGTGGGGTGACAATGGGAGTTTGGAATAAATTTGAGTAACCCTAAGAATCTGGGCCCTCAAATACATAGGGTTTTGAGGGTCGGGCCCTGCTATGGAGGGTCCGACCCCTGCCATGGAAGGCCCAAGGATGCTTAGGGAAATGCTAATCATATTGTTTTGGCCAAAAAGTATGCCGCTTGCAGCCCCTCAATGCACCACACAGGGGCGCAAGAACCTTGGGAAGGCCAAGAGATGCCAAGTCCCAATCTTATTTCCAAATCGGCTTATTCTGCTTGGCACTTCGTCGCTCCACCGGTTCTTCCGAACACCTTCCGTTCGCTTACCCACGTGTTCCGTCCCGCGTGACGCACGCCGAACAAGTGGCTCGTTCCGGTCGCCCGAGCTGCGTGAGAGCCTCGCGGCCAGGAGCCATCTTCAGCGGATGTCGGACCAATAAATGTTGCAAACACGACCCGTTTGGGACTGGGGTGGTGCCACAGGGGTCAATGGGGCGGCATATATGACAGTGTCTGGGTATTTTTAAGGAAGGTGATTAAAGACACTGTTACAGTATGTAGGTGCAAGGACGGTCCAAGACCTTCTCAGGGTCCAAGTATACCGAAACGAGAAGGTGGAAGTTAAGACCTTCCCAAACGCTCCAAACAGCCCTTGGTCCCGCAAAAACGTAGGGATTTGAGACGCCAGAAAAGCATTCGGGTCCGACCCCTCGATATGAGGGTTGATGAGCGTCTGGATGGACCCATGCACTCCCAGGATCTAACGTGACAGTGGAACATGGCCCCTTGGAAGACCATGTTCCTCCGAGCATTCGAATACACAAGAAATGGCATCAAACTCAAGATCATCAAACAATCAAAAGACGAGCAAGGCAAACGCTCAAAAGCTACGACTTAAAACAACAAAATAGGACTTGACTTCACTCAACAACCCCAGTATTTACTTCTAGGGAACACAGCAAGGTCAAATCACTTCTCCGATCGTTTCTCTCTGTTTCTCATTGGAAGCTCCCAGCTGCGCCTTTTTGGAAGCTCCCCCGTGTGCGTGGTTTCGGTGGAGTTGCGCCGACTGCGCCAGTTGGGTGGTGTCTCCTGGATGGACTGTCACACCAAGCGACCGGACGACCGGTATACCGGGCGTTTTTGGAAGCAAGTTTTGCCCAAAAAGGCGTAAAATCTCTTTAACCCTGAAGCAATCCGTTTTCGTACCGAACCTCAGGTACGGTGAGAGATGAAACACCGCTATGTAGGGGCCAGGAGGGTCCAGTCGTACCGAACCTGAGAAGGTAGTCGTACCGAACCTGAGAATCTACTTGTCAAATAATTTAGATATCTTGAGGTCGAAAGAGAACAGGAGTCGGCTGGAGATGACTGGTTCCCACAGGTCATGCAGGACCGGACCTGGCCGGTCACCTGACTGTGATGCAAAACCCGACCCAGAACTACCAAGAGTCGCAGCCACCAAAGTGAGTACACTCAAACAACCGCTCCGTGCGTGGCGGGTGGGTATAACTGCGAGAATTCGGGAAGTTATTGACCATTGAATAATGATATAATTTAAGCCTCATTAAGCGGCCAGTGGTCAATCAATAATGGCCAAAGTGGAATGCAGTCTTTGGGGGATCTCCACCCACCCAATACTCTCTTATGGAGATCCCCCAAATTGTCATACCTAGACTCCCTCCCGAGGCAATAATTTTTGCCGTAGGCTGTTGAGGCAAAAATTGCCGTCAACTGACCGAAACTGCCGCAGTTCATCAAGAAACGCCGTCCCCATGAGATCAATATGGAAGAACGCCGCAGAACAGAAAAAGGCAACGTTTCCATGAACACGGCAATTATTGCGGTTTTCAGTTCCATGTATTAGCTAGATCCCCACATTCTGAATGTCAGTGCCCGGCGGAACCCGAATGCGTGACCATCCGTTCGCCCGCCGTTCGCCTTGAAGTCCGAGTTGTTGGTGCCGGTCGTGGAGTTCCGCCGGTACCGGAACTCCTGGAGCAGGTTCCCGTGAACCGTGGGCTGGATGGGCTTGGTGATCATGCTCGGTGGTTCGGTGCAACCTTCGGTGCAAACTCGAATGGCCATGTAGTTGGCATGGAAACTACATATCCTGTGTCTTCCAACGAATTTCTGCCGTTTTAATCAATTAAACCCAACCAAAAGTCATGTTGCACAGTTGGAAGATCTAGGTACCAGGAGTCATATGTCGGGGTGGTGTTTGGTCCCTAAGTGAGTGGATAATGGGCACCCCTAACCTTCATTAAGCACCCCTTTGCGACTCCTGGTGTATCATCTTCCAAGGACATATCTTCCAGTTCCATGATGTTCCATGTGTCTGATCAACAGCTTTCTTCTTCTCCGTCACGGCTTCGAAAACCGGTCTGTCAAGCGAGGCTGGTCGTCCTGCGAGGCTTGTCTCCCTGCAAAGGGACTTGGAGACAACTGCCTCCTTTGCTCAAAGGACCCGAATGACTCTGGGCGTTCACCGCCTAGGCACCGACGCACAGCGCGGTGTGAGCGAACAGGCGTACCGTACCGCGGTTGCGTACCGCGAAGGTGCGTGTGGTTCTCACGTTGGAGAAGGTGGTACTTCCTCCTCATCTAGCTGTGTTTAAGTGGTAAATTCCGGTGGAATTCCGGTTCGAGTGTTTGACCACAATCATTATCCAGACACGACCCATGGGACTGCCATAGGACTGCCGATCAATTGACCCCCGCATACATGGAGCGTCTGGGTTAGGGAACCCCCAAAAATACCATGCCGTGGTAGGGCTGGACTTCTAGCAAGTGGGTGCCATGTGCCATGCGAGTGACCTACTACAGAAAAAAAAACATTGAATAAAGTCAATCCACCTGGACTCTCAGGTCACGAACAGGTCTGCAACAAAGTGGTCATGTACTGAGCCAGTGTTCAGGGAAGGACGTGGAACTGCTATATATGTTGGATGGTCAGCCACTCATGCAAACATGTGGGCAATTAAACAAACTGAATTATGGAGTTGTAAAACATGTTGACGGGTAGTTCTTTGTCAATCAATCAGTCAACCACTAGAGGTACTCAGTGGTGCTAGTGCCCCACTCCTGTGATGCCGACTTCGAATACCTTGGGTAGGCAGCTTGCCACCACAGCAGTGCACCAACAGGAAACCCAAACAAAATGCAAGCCGCAGCATTGCACAAACACGCTGATACACCACTTGATTCCAACTAGTCACATCTACGCCTTGGAAGTCCAAGACTCAACAAAACATTAAGGTCTTTAATTCAGCGAGCCTGAGTTCGGGAATGTACTCGACTTCACTAAGGAAAAGTATAGTCTAGAGTCTAGAGTCTATAGATTTGGTCTAGTCACTATCTAGTCTATCATCTATACTATCTAGTCTACTATCATCAATCATCAAATCATCACCATCATCTATGATCATCATCTACTCGCTTTTGGGTTAACCTTCGGTTCTACTGACCTGCATGCCGAGACACTGGTATCCATCGAAGTCTTCCCATCAAACCTGGAGAAGATCCCCACATCTTTGGAGTCTTTGCGCCGCTCCGCGCGGTGTCCGTTGGAGGAGTTGCGCCTCTGGCGTCTCTCCAGGATACCTCGGACCAACGACGAAGGACAACAGATCAGAGACGGAAAAGACACAAACAAGACACGTACGGCCGCCCCGTCTTGAGAGAGAAAACGTGTGCGATCTTGGAACATGGAAGGAACATACCCCAAATTCCCTCATATACCAGGACCCTCCAACAGGTGTTTCCTGCAGGTGTCCAGTGACAACAGCCTGTTAGGGTCTCCAAACAGCCTGGCCAGGAGGATCCTGGTAGATCCAATCTAAACTCTAGAGGTGCAGCAATGTATACCCTGGAAAGTCCAGTCGACCATTTTTAAATTGGAACGATCTGGTTATTGTAGTGTAAAACCCTTAGTAAGACAATGGTTGTCCAGTAAAGGCCATTAAAACAATGGTGGTTCGACTTCTAGGGTATATTTAACTTACGAATCATCGAATTCTACAATCCACAATGGAGGAACGACCACTGCAGTTCGTTTGCACGACACAGCATTGCATCAACATATGCTTCATGAATCTAAATGTATGATCCCAAAGCACCACCCATATGCAACGGAACGATTGCACGTGAAGTAGTCAAAACCTGTCAAAACCACATAGACTAAATAACACACCGAAAGCAGGTCAGGAATGGCCATATTATGAACTTGAGCGCTTGAGCATCGCTGCTTTGAAGACTGCGGCCCAAAAAAGCATTGGCTTTAGCATACCTGTTTGCCTAGGTCCCGGTTCAAAACCAAATTGAGAAGCCCAAAATTCCAGATTTCCGATTGTATATCTGTACAATATCTTACAAAGCCCCTCTGCCCTTTTTCATTCTCTCTCCTCTCCCAGTCCCGTCGCTTTTTCACCGTCGCGAAGGAGAAAAAAAAACAAAAAACACCGTGTCGACACTCCGAACGTCTTCGGCGCCGTCTTCGACTCGCGAGGCTTGGTCCTCCCTTGCCGCGAAGGATTCCGGGAGCAAGTCACGCGTGAGATTCATTTCCTCTTGTCGACTCCGTCCGGTTTCAGTACTCCACCGTTCCTAGCGGAGCGAAGCGAAGCCTGACGCGGCGTATTATTTTTGGTCAGGACATCCATACGATCAACTGGTAAGAGCATGCAAAAAGAAGTTGAGACAACCTTAGCTGTTAAAGCATAAGCTATGATACTTTTTTTCAAAAAACACATACCAGCTAGTATATGCAAATATCCAATCATGTTTGACAGATCTGAAAAGCAAAGTGCTGACAGCAATCTTCCACTATACCCGGGTCTTCCACCGTCCTCCCCATCTAAACCCGCACCGTCCTGCAAGGCCGTCTCCACCGCCCTCAAGGAGCTTCTCAAGGCTCCCCGGGTGGCATCCACCACCAAGGACTCCAAGCTCAGCATCGCCGACTTCAACGCCGAGGACTCCTGGATGCGGTGCCGATGCGGAGAGATGTGGAGTTGGGAGAGATTGGGCGGCGAGGAGTGGTGTGGCCCCACGTGGATGCACAAGAATCTGGAACACGTGGAACATCAGGTAATTCTATGTAATTCTTGAAAAGCTGAACATAATCTGGAACAGCTGCCACAACGTCACAGCTGCACTGCGCTGTCTTCTTTTTCTGTGGCCGTGAAGTGAAGGATTCTATTAGGGCATCCCATGGCCCGCCGGCAAGTGGTTGTTGGAGTGTAGGATTGAACACACTTCGTTGCCTACAGGTGGAGAATGCTGGTGCCGGGTCGGAGACGAGCCGCTGAACCGGGCGGCGAAACCGGAAGCTTCGACTCCTTCCTCCTCGTTTTCCGATCTGTTCGCAGATTCTGAGATGGTCGCATCGAGGGTCGAGAAAACCCCAAACTTCAACAGAAAAGACCAAGGTGATTCCTGTAGACACTGTAGACTCTTGAAGACTAATAACCCCACCCATTTGAAGTGAAAATCCTATGGGGGGTGTATGATCAAGAGTCTACATTAATTATATTTACCTGGTTCTTCAAAGTTGCCTTTTGATAACCTGGTTGGTTCGGTCACTTAAGCCTCCTGAAACTCACGAAAAGGAACCTTCAAAAGGTCACGAACTGAAGAAGCTGGAAGGTGATTAGTTGGACAGTTTGGACGATCCACCTGCCGTCCCATCCGAACCGATACTCAAACCTACCCAGCCACGTCCGTTGGTTCCAATCGACCTGGTGTGCCCCCCGGCGACCCAAGGTCAATCGAGAGCGATTTCTAGACACAACGAAGCATGAATGAAACTCAGGAGTCTCGAGTTCTTTCAGGACTCAAGAGTTCTCCAAAAGTTCAAGATGCCCCCCAACAAAAATCCACACCCTTGTATTGTTATTTTACAACATATTTGGGAGAGTGTCTCCACCTGTCAAATCACAAGGATGGGAGTCGTCCACCCTTCCGGTGCCCCGAAAACAAACGAAGATCCAGATCTCCACGATCCGTCTTGGATCCCCACCTGTGTGGTCGGCGCCTGTGGACTGCTGGACTTGGACATGGCTGCCTCCCAGGCGTTCGAACGCCGGCAGAGGTCTGCGTGTTCTCGGAATCGAAGCTATACCAGCACCTAGAACCAATAGGTCTCCGACATGGAGGCTTTGTAGACAGTCGCAGGTGGTGACCTGTGAAGTAGGGTCCTGGTACAAATCCGCCCCCTGAACTGCTTCAAAAAACGTATCAAAACCATTTAAAACCTTGGATCTGAAACCTCCGGCAGGGTGCCTCCCAAACAAGTTCAGCTTTCAACCTCCTTCCAAGTGTATGAGCACAACCCCTCACCCCTGCCCGAACCCGGTCCCTTCCCCATCAGTTTCAGTCATCAACCTCCATGTCATCCGTCAACCTACTTCTTTCCCACATCCCGGCACCTCTGCCTGCACCGTCACCTCTGTCGTCTCCGCCCGCTCCAACTCCACTCGCTCCACTTGGAGAGCGGCTGGTGGCGAGAGGGGCTCCGCGGCGGCGAGCGCGGGCGCCGCCGAGAGCACCATGGGCGTGGAGCGATGTGGTTGCTCGACCTCTTCACCCGAAGCTCGCGCCTGCGAGGGTCGCGCGACGCCGTTGACGCCCTTTTTGTTCGTTGAGGTGGTGCTTTCGTCCAAAGGAGTATGGATCAAAGACACTGTTGACCTGAATGATGTTTGGTGGTGGCTGGCTGGTTCATGCCAAAAATCCTGGCAAGACTGTCTGACCGAATGAGACTGCTTGATAAACCCTGACAAACCCAACCGGGGACCAGTGGATGCTGGTTGAGGTCAGGGCCGGATTTAACAAAAACAACTGTGCGCCTCTCCAACATGTGCCCGTTGCCCATTGCAAACCTCTTCTCTATTAGGGAATTCCAAACTCTCACCCTCAGTTAAACAAATATGAGTGCACCTGCGCAGGGTTTTCGCCACGTAAAGCACAAACCACCCTTACTTTAGGATCACACTTGAGCGGATCACGCACCTCGTCGTCACCGGCCAGGCCCAGTTCTTCTTGAAGTCGTATGGCCACGGTGGAGCCGACCTGAACGATTTCGGTGCTGACCGAGCCGTCGTTGGCTGACCGAGCTGGGGCAGGCGCAGGCGACCGAGATTAGAAACCAAACGCACGAGACATCGTGTTGGACGATGAAATGAGTGAAACTGAAACGTACGAAGAACGAAACCAGCCTGCAAAGTTGGTGAGCAACATAAAGCATGAAACAAAACAGGACCCTCCAACCAATCGCGGAAAAACATCAACGATTTTTTGCCGAACATAACTACCAGGGAACAGTTGGGTTCCCACACTTCCTCGCCATGTTCATTCCCAGTCGACTCGACCGACTGCCCGGCCCTCGCGTGGGACCCGCCCAGCAGTCACCGACACGACCGACTCGCGACGGCCGGCATGTCCCGCCGGGCGACGTTACTATGGACGTTGCCCTGCCAACTTGGAGGACTGAAGGGGGTCATATTCCAACTTCTCCTTTGTGTGCCGAAACACACGCGCGTGCGGGCAAAGCCCGCGCGTGCCGGCTTGAACCGTCGAAGAGAAAGAACTGCCACCATTCAAAACAAGGCAATGTTTGAGTTAGGGACACCGGGGAAATTGGCCACTGCGTGCAGTTGATACTTCTCTCTAGAAGTCTTGTGCCAAGTGCCCGCCATCCCACAAGCATTTCCGCGTCTTCATACTAAAATTCTACACATGTGATGCAAACATGCAATCTGCAACCTTTGTGCTATTTTGGACTTACCCCCTTATCCAAGCCTGCATGGCTCTGTGCGAAGCTTGGTTGGATCCTTGTGTGCACGTGGCATTATCTTGCCAAACGACCGGCATTATTTCACCCGCAACTTGGTTGCCACCATCTTCCGGGTGTGTGGTTGCATGACAACAAATGTGACCCAATTAGCAAGTTGCAGTTATCATAAAATGATCCATAAATGCCTTTATCTTCTCCCCAGGCAGGCTGAAGGTACCAAAAGACCGCGCGAATAGCACAGAGTCACTATTCCGGTCGTTGGCAAAAACAAGGTTCTTCACAACAATCTTGCACCCTCTCTTGTGGGTGCACTACCATAGATATTCATGAATTAAATATGATTGAATCATCCACCTACTTGCCCAATCGAACCAAGACATATAAAAAAAACATAATATAGAATCATGTCTGAATCCATTGTAAAGCACCCTTCCAAAGGACTTTGACATCACACGAAATCCTGTGGTCTTCCCGAGAATCTGTGGGCTGATCGATGGGCTGGAACTGCGTGGTTTTCCCCAGCGCGGGTTGCGCTTGGAGGACGAGACCTGAAACGAGGCCAGGAGGTCCTGAAAGCCGGCAAGGAGTTGCGACGGAGTCGGAGTGGAACCGAATACCACTAAGCAAATGTTACCTTAGGATATCCCCCAAGGGGTTGATCCGAACTTGATGAACTCTAAACTGTTTCTGCCACAAGATGTGTCAATCGGTGGCAGGCTCGGAAAACATGCGCGAAGCCATCCCGAAGATCTAACGAATCATTCCTGGCGTTTGTCATAGTTGCAGGTAGGCGGTCGACAATGTGACGTTCCCTTGTTGTAGCTTTCCCGACAGGATGGTGTCCACAAGTCTCCTTGTACTAAAGAAGGGCTCAAGTACCAACCTGGGTTGTTCCAAGAAGACCGTTTAAGTGAAACATGCCCTGCGCCTACACTATGCCTACAATTACTGATCAAGGGAATCTTCATGATGCCATGAGAGAAACACAACAAATGTCGAGCTTGAGCTATAGTTACCCCTCAATAGAATATCATACATCAATCACATGTCGTACTCAAAAGCCTACAAAACTGTGACAATGAGTTGATTGAGGGATGGATATGTCCTTTCAATCTTAAGAGCGACTTGCAAAACCCAAAACACAGTTTATGAGCTTCCCCAATGATCAGGCACATCTGCTGACCCTGGCCTGGAGACAGGACGCAAACACAAGCAAATGCCCGACTTCCACGGCGCAAAAGTGCGTTTTCCCAAGCAACATGGTTGAACGTCATCAAACCTCATGAAGCAACAACAATAAATTCATATGTTAACATAACTAATCATATATAATTACATAAATAGTATTATATACTGTGTATGTATATATATATATAACATTATCTTTCTATATGATATGTGCTGCTCAGAACATCTCAGAACCTTTCACATCATCTACCAAGAAAGATCTCAACAGCTCTGCCCAATCTCCCTCACCAACGCATCCAAACGCATTCAAACACATTCACCCAAAGCGGTCCTCTTCAGGAGGCAGCACTCCCATGTGATCAGCCTTAGTCACGGCATGGACCCCCCCGAACATCCTTGCTTTCAAACAAGACACATCTGATGACGCCAGGATTGGTGAACTCACATCTTTTGTATAGCCCACCCTGTAAACGCAGCCCAGCTTGGAACAAAATGGTAAGTCCTAGCATGGCCTAGCTTCTACTTTTGCATGCACATGCAGTTGAAAGACTTTCACCATTGGGTTTTACCAATGGCCCTTCAGTGAAACTCACCTGGCTTTTGTTCAGCCATTAAACCACGAACAATACAGTATATATTGCGATCGACGTCAAGATTTCATGGGTGACGTCGGGGCCAACCATTCTGTATACAAAACCTGCGGGGCCCCAACCTCATTTGTTACAAAATGCATGGGCGCAAAGGCACCTTTCTTACAAAATGATTGGCTGACCTGTCTCGAAAATCCATTCTTTCAAAGTTTCGGGCACCAGTCTATGGACAAAAAACTGGGAGCTCGTAGGGTTGTAGCCGGTCATGTTGTAGTCAAGGGGTTGGGGCGCGGACATTCTATAAAAGGATTCCTGCCTGCAATCTTCCAGCCAAACCTTTCCCCTGCCCCATCCTACCCATAGAGTTTCGAGAATGATTTTGTAGCCATCCATTTTGTAGCAGATACATTTCGTGAGAAAGCCTGTCATTTTGTGAGGCTCTCGAGGCCTTCAAAAAAAACATTATATAAAACATGTTGTTTTGCTATCATGATCTATCTGGCATTTATACGCATATATATATATATATGTATGCTTTTCCAAAACATAGACTAGCTGATTAGCACCCCCGCTACCAGCATTCAATCCAGTACTTCAAGTAGAAACACTGCTGGTCTGGTCAACCATATAGAGACGCCATAAGTTTATAGAATGTTTTGTGTACTTACTCGGCACCACTAGCTTTACCATACAAAATAATCATCAAGTCTATAGCGGCTGCTCAATGTTGATTGATTACAGTATATCTATGTATATCTGATCATGATAGATCATGATAGCAAAACAGTTTTTTATATAGAATGTTTTTTTGAAGGCCTCGAAAAGCCTTACAAAATGACCGGATTTCTCACGAAATGTTATGAAATGTATCTGTTACAACACCATATTTTTCTTACAAAGTCAGGGGCCTAGACGTCATTTTTTGTGGCTCTTACAAAATGGTTGGCCTAAACGTCATTTCCTTGTAAAAAAGGCTGTTATAAGGGCCTTGAGGCCACCCATTCTATATACGGGAAATCTTGACGTCGATACATTACGTTAGTTTGTGCTTCTGGAAAAACTAGGACCTCTTACCGTTGGAATCAACCGGCATGTTCCCAGTTTGAGCTACATCAACAAATGCCATGATAAAATGTCATTCAGCACTTTATGTGATGACCGATGACCATTCTTTCGTGGAATGAACAGGTATCCCAAACATTCGAACAGGTTGTGTCTTCCAAACTCTGGGCTCTGAAAGGCCGCAAAGGAACGATGTTGTCGATCCGCATGGAGAGCGCCTCGCACATGTTGAGGAGCTCCTGGCGCTCCGAAGCGTCGCGCTCGCTGCCAGGTAGCGTATCAGGGTGGAACACCCACAAACTGGCGACATGCTGAAAACGAAGGGGCTGGGCGTGGAAATGGATCGAAGGAACTATAGTTTGGGCGGGAGGCAACTCAGAACCATGCTTGCCTTCTGTTGTTGAAGGCATATCACACGCAAGACTCCATGAATTGCAGAGGGAATGCATAGACTGATAGACCTCAATGACATTCAAGGATGCTAAAACTACATGTTGGCACAGAAATTGCGCATGAACTGCTGGCTGGAGGGTTCTTCTAACTTTGACGGAACTGAGGACGTGGTGGATGTGCTGGGTTTGGTCTTCCCACTTCCACCACTCACCCTTATTTGCAACATGTCTGAAAACGGACCAACACCAGGTTTCTGAATTATGATTTCCTCCATAATTCATCACCGAACCCTCAGACTTTTGACTCCAATTTTTGTACTTAAACCGCATGAAGATCCAAACGGTATCCCTTTCAAAGCCGCCCCCCCAAAGCCACATCCGCCCTGCTTGATGGGAAAAACCTGCCTCTTGCTGATGTAACGTCCGCATCATGTTGTACCTCAAGCAGTGGTTCATGTCACAATTTTGTTGGTGAACATGAGGCGCAGTGAGCGGTCCATCTTGCTTCAACCAACAAATCTCTCAACCTGGATGGGTCATGTTTCGTGGGGTCACCATCATCATCACCATCATCATCGAAGCAGCTGCGTAGCACAGCGCAAGCTGCTTCCGGCCCCCCTCCCCTCCAACAACCTCTTCGGGTAATCCACACATCCAACTGTCGTTTCAACCGGGCGGACTTTTTTCTGATCAGAGCCATCGGATGAACAAGATGTGGCAATGTGGCAACACATTTTTGTTGATGCTAATTAGCTGGCCGGGCAGCGTCATTCAAATGTCAAGTCAACTCAAAACGGACCGCCAAGAAACCTTCAGTGCTCTATGTTCACTACATTTCACTACGTTTTTATAAAATATTGCATCAAAATCTGACACCCGTCTTCTCATCTGGCCCACAACTCCCAACTCACCACTCACAGACTTCACAAAACAATTACTCTTGTCACCTGAGCGTGCGCCAGCCATTAAATCTGATACCCTCCTATCCTAGCCCTATGCCTGCAACAAAGCCTGACACCCATCTTCTCATCTGGCCCACAACTCCTGACTCATGCAGGCATTGTGTGACTGTGTGCACAAACCACAAACATTCGAGCATGCTCGGATTTTGATCATTTTCACAATGTATCGGGTGATGGGAAAGGATTTGCAGCCAAGCAGTCGTTGGCTGATGAGTAAGCAGTAAGGACGCTAAAATTGCACACCTTCGTTGACTTAGTGATCCGAGGGTAGTATTCTTTCCATCCAGGGTTCTCTGGGCGGCACAATGCGGGTCCAGGATTGCAGGAACCGAACGCACCCAGATCTGAGTCCTAGACTTGTTGGCACGACTCAGGTATAAGCGATCGGCTCAAAGCATTCCCAGGTGGCACGGCGAGCACGCTGAAGACTGATGGGCGGAGCCAAAATATAGACCGGTCCTCCAAAAAAAATAAATATGTACAATATAGGCTGCTGCAGATGTGCGAACAACCTTTTGTTAAACAATACGGTTGCGCCGACTCTCTCACCTTTCGGTTCCATCGCCATTTTTCACTGGGAATTGAGTGTGACCCGCTCAGTCGTCCCACTTGGGTGCTGGGTGTGATCCTCCGCAAGGAGGCGCCGTTTTCTCTCCAGACTACCGTGTAACGGATTCCAGTGTTCCTCCATGCGTTGGATTCTCCTCACTGAATTGGCCTCACTTCAGGATTCTCAAAACACGATGCCGTCGGGCCCACGATACCCCTCCTAAGCCGCCGGGCAAACGGAGAATAAACCCCGACGTGTTCTCTACCCCAAACACCCCAACCCCTCCCCTCCCTCTAATTAGGGTAACAAAGGGAAATGGTACTCGGCACACTTGTGTGTCGGTGCCTTTCCCTCTGTTGTCCCTTTTCTAGTCTACTCTACCCGGGCGGTGTAAGACAATAGTCCCGCTCCCTAACTCGGCTAAGTATTCAGTAACTCTAGAGTGCTAGGTAGTCATACACACACACACGGACACACACATGTACATACACTTCCCTGCCCCCCTACTTTCCTTCTTGCGCTTTTGGTCGTTTCTTGGGCTTTCTCTCAGGCTTTTTAGGTTGTTCTTGAGGCTCGTTTCCCTACCCCAGTCAAGGGCTAAGTATTCACTTTTGTCTACTCCTACCTTTCTCTCTTGCCCTCTTAGCGCTGCTCTTTCTGGTTTTCTTTTGCTTCTAAGGCTTTAAGGTACCTATTCAGGTCCTCCGCGCGAGCGCCGCAAAGCGGCATCGTGTGTGTGTCAACCTCTGTAACTAAGAGTTTTGAATGCAGGGGGCCACCGGGGTCCCAGAGGAGCGGTGGCCAACGAAGACCTCCTCTGGGACCCGTGTAAACGTACCTGCAATTTTAATAACCTAGACCTTCCAACGGCTAAAATATTCTAGTACGATTGGGTTGTTGTATTAGTTTCTGATGCTTCGATGGAAAAAATGGTAGTCAGAAACGACTGATTTTTGCTTAACGGTGTGATTTGGGTATGCTCCACAGATTTTGATCCGAGTAGCCATCACCGGCTATCACACATCTATATTTAGGGGATGACTTCAGTATTTATCAACCCATGCAATTATGGTTCCTTTTGCATACTCGTATATCATTACCGTATCTTGTAGTTTTGCTGCGCTCGAGCCTGCTTATAATTCTTGGAGCTCTAGGCCAATGTCTGATCGACCAGGGATTAGTGAAAGCCGCTCTTTCTTAGAGGGGTATATCGACTGCCCAAGCGATGGCAAACCCAGCTGCACTTGATTTTGCCACAAGTTTTGTGCAAGCATAAGAGATCATACTTTTGAACTCCCGTGAAACCGACCAATCATCATCGTCGTCATCATCACCATCATCATCCTCATCCATCAGTCATCCAGAGGCCACGGGGAGGGCGGTGTGTGACCATGCACGACCACTGACCACTCTTTGTTTGAATCGTATGTGCTCGACCCCTTTTCAACTGATCGTCACAATCAAGTAGTACAAACCACATCGACCAAAATATTTTCGAATTTTGAAGGTCTAGGAACTGTTTAAACGCCGTTTCGTGAGCTGCAGATGTGCGAACAACCTTTTAATTTTGTTAAACAATACAATTGCGCCGACTCTCTCACCTTTCGGTTCCATCGCCATTTTTACCTGGGAATTGAGCTAACTGAAAGCCAATGTCAGAGTGTGTGTAGTCTGTGGCGCACCGCGTGGCCAAATTCCATCAGTGATGCCGTTGTGAAATTGGCCACACGGTGTGCCTCAGACTAGATACAACAATGTAACACCAAGCCTTGTGGACACCGCCAATCATCATCCCGCTCCCAAGCGACACGCCGAATTTGCACCAGCATGTTTTCCCCCCGCCAATGGCACGGACTCACGCAAACGGACCTGACGACACAAGGGAAGCAACATGGCGACCATGAGAGCACATGGGGGAAAGGGATACCCGGATACCCGGTGCGGCCCAAAGGAGCAAGGATCAAACGAGGGACCATGTCACCGAACCAACGACAGTGCTCTGACCATTCGACCAAAGCACAAGACGAAACAACCGAAAGATCACCTGAGACGGAATCTTGGAACCCACCACCCCCACTTGATGCGGTCTTGTATCATGGCCTTTGCAGCCAAGCACCGCAATGGAATGCACCCATGAAGGCGCAGTGGTCACATGTCCGAGAAACAAAACACATCAAAACACACCGAAGAAGGTCCCAAAAAATGACCTGAAGCCCAACCCCTCAGTCCTCCGAAACCAATTCAAATTACCAACAAAAGAAGCCATGCATTTGGGACGCTCTTCAGCCACCAAGATGCTTGATGAAGCGTGGGGCCGTCTTGGAATCGTGCACCCAGCGCGTCATTGGAGCGATAAATTGGGATAAATCGATGCTGCCTTCCTCCGTGCTATCGATCATCTCCTGCCAGTCCCACTTCGGAGGGAACATCGCCATTTTTGGCCATGGAGCAGCCAACTGAACCACCCCACCTGCTGGCAACCAGCGGTTCCAAAGACTATAAAACCCTGGTTCCGTATATAGTGGCACCATGTGGCACCTGGGGATCCATGGAGATCGTTATCGTTGATGCCAGTGACAGGTCGTGTCTGACGGCCGACCGGGTTGAAGTCAGCCCTTCGGACCGCTGAATCAGCAGTGCCCAACTCGTCTTATCACCAAGCTATTGGGCATATCCCTATCACCAGTAACAATGGATGATGATGGCAAGATATGGCAAGTACAGTAAAGGCCAATGAAAATGGTGACATGTGATAGGTGAATATCGTTTAGGCGGGAATGGGGCACAACTCACAACCAAAAAACACACATTTCTTGCAACCGACCCCAAGAAATCCTGTTCCAAACCACCTTGGGGTGCTCCAAGACGCACGAAGCCTCTTGTGACGAATCTTTGATGAATCAAGTCCCCCACGCATGATTTACATATGGACCGGGAGAACCTGCGGCAGAACATGAAGTCTCAACAATGGGCGGACGAGTGCAAAAAGCTGAAACTGCTTGCCAGCTTCAAAGAAAAACAACACTAAGCTAAGCCACTAAGCTTTCTCAAAAAACATAAGTAAGATCTGAGAAAAAAACAGTCAACAGCTTGCGGCGAGTCTCGAACAGTTGTTGCAAGTCAGCTTCGTCAATATCCATGACGCGCAGCCTGTAGGCGGGTTTCACGGAGAAGGAGTCAAAACATCTGGCATCCATCCAAAAGCGCACAAAACCCCGCCGGGGGTACCTGACTGGTTTCATGCGTCTAAAACAACTGCGGCGAAACAAACCAGCCTCCCCTTACGTTCACCCTTACATGGCTCTGTTTCACAGATCCTCTTTCTGCAATGGATGTTGTGGGCATGAAGGGTCAGGGTCCGGGGAGGATTCCGTTCAAGGCACACAATGGCGAAGTCTCCCAAGAGCGTCTTTGCCCGAAGAACTGGCACTTTGAGGAGCCGCTGGGGTCTTTAATTTTGTAAAGGCTTCAAGATGCTTCAATGAAACCATGCTCGAAAAAATATGAGAGAGGTTGGGTGTATCCTATTACCTGCCGTTACCTGCAACAGTGGATGATGATGTTTAGTAGAGGCCTTGTCCAAAAGTAGTGATAATTGTTTACTGTTAATGGCAGGTATTAGGACAGGACCCAAGAGATAGGTCTAGTACTGCAATATGTCATGTGGATAGGGCCTTCTCAGGCGGCCTTCTCCAGAGTGCATGGCCTGCTCCTCCTTCGATGTGGGAAACCCTGGCCAGCCACCAACGGTCGTTTGATCGCAGTCGTTTCCTCCGTGACGTTCGGTTCCCACCTGCTCTGGAACTCCTTGTCCTTCCGCGCTCCCTCCACCAGCTCTTCGAACGTCACCTGCGCCACGCAGGTCGAAGCGAACATCGCTGCGCAAGACCTGCGCGCACCCGCAAGACCTGTACAAGACCTGTCGCCTTCAAAAGAAATCAAAGGTGGGCAAAGGGACTGTTCCATTAACATACTGGGGCTTAGCAAAGAATGGGAGAATGACCCCTCAAAGATACATTCTTCGGATCCATGCATATCCATTCCCTCATTCCGCTGCTAAGCACCAGTCAGGAGCTGCACCGCCGGCCTGTGAGCCCCTCAATTAGTCTGTGGTAGAGCAAGAGTGGCTGAAACAAACTTACAGGGACAGCCTACATTCACCAAACATCACAAAACACAAGCACAAGCTGTGTCAAGCTATGTCAAGCTATGTCAGTGCAATCAGCTGACATCGCTAAGAAGTCAACACATTGCATGGAGGATTCCAGCTGATCGTCGACCCCCGACAGCAGCCCGAACATCCGTGACGTCCGTGCGGGTGCGGGTGCACCTGCCCGCTGCCATCTTCGTCGATCCTCTGGAAGATCGCCTCCCATCGCGGAATCGGCATGGCTGGCGGTGCAAGAATCAACCCTAGGGCTCCAAGTACCTGCTGAGAAGGTATGGTTTGGAGGGAAAGGGGTTTTGATCGGACACGTTGTACACACAACACCGCGACGTACACGCACTGCCTTCACTTCAAGAAGGTTCCGGAAGCCAAAGCAAACAGTACTGCCAAAGAGCTAGAGCCTCTAGGGTCAAGTAACCTTACGCGTCTAAATTCTGGCATATTCTGGCATATTGTCAGTGTTATCTGAGGATGATATCGAGACACTTCATCCCTTCCGGAATTTTGTACTGCCCTGGTTGCCGTGTCCACAGATTATATTGTTGATGGCGTTTCATGATTACACCAAAAAACTTGACAATGTAGTAATTGCACATTCTTGGCAAACAACATCTTGAGAAACAGAACATGTACAGTACAATCATACAAAATCAGTTACCATGAGATTCCTTGGAAGCCAAGCAGTTCTCCCATGTCCTCCTCTGGCCCTCTTCCTGTTCAACCAGGTTAGTTTTCCTCGCCACGTTGACACGCCCTGCCAGCCCTGCGGCCCTGCGCCTCTAAAAATTTGGTGTCTTTGTTCAGACTATCTTCCATTTCCTCAGCCAAATTGAGCACGTCACGCTGACGAGCCTCCGCAAAATTGTCCACCACCACCTCGGTCGAGTGGGAATCGCATGTGGGGCAACACGCGCGCGGTCGGCCAAAAAGGATGAAGCCGCGCAGTGATGATTGGTTGGAGAAGTGTCATCTTCAATCTTCGGATGTGAACCTGAAAAAATACATCGCCAAAGGCAAAGGGGTGCTAGTGTTTTGGTGGGGATGTGGCCTAAAGCCTCAGCCTTGGCTCAAATAAGAACACAATACTGCCCCCACAAGACTGGCAGGAATATCAACCAGAATCTAACGTCTCGTCTCGGATCTGATAGATTTACTTTGCTTTCTGCCTTCTTCATATGTTTCACCATGTTTCACCTATTGCCTTATCTTTCAGGCATTGTCTTCCACACCTGATATTGCCTGCAGCACCATCTCATACTCCCCCGGGCCCGCCCTGCCCCAACTCGCCGAATCATGAGATTCGGTGGAATTTCTGGCTTTCTGCCACCACGTCCTGGTTTGTCACCGAGCAGCGGCGACGATGAGGTTTAAAACACCGAAGACCAAGGTCAACAAGGAGCCGCAGAAGAGGATCGCCGTGGCCGGGAACTCCTCAAGTCGGACCGACTCGAGCACGGACTCAAGCACGGAGGGACTCGTGCGGAGCACGGAGGGACTCGCATTCAGCGACCGAGCACGGTGCATGGTCGAATCGACCGCGGGGGGTCGAGGTTTGTGCGATCGCCGTCGCTGGAGGTGAAATCAACAGACGTTGCAGCCATCGCGTGGGTGGATGAGGGTGTTCTTGAATCGATACCACCCCGTTCGTGATATCGATTTGCTAAGCATTCATCCAGTCTTGGACATAGACCGTCACAAGACCTGAAGGCCAGTGGCATTTCTGGCAACTTCGTGACTTTCTCTCTACTTCTCTGAATTCCTGCGGATGGTGCCCCCAAAGAACAACCGGCTATGCGCCATCCCATCTAAACCATCCGCCCAACCCTCCGCCCTCCAACCCGGCGCTTCAGAGGACGGTCTCGTCTCACTCACCTGAATGACTGGGACGGCGATGAGTCCCCAGGAGTCGCCGGCAATGACCGTCTTGAAGAGCAACAGGTTCCTGGTCTGAACCGATCTGGACCGGGAAGGACCAGCCATTTGGGGGAACGATGTCACCAGGACAAAGACACGAAACCCATACAAACGCTCCATGGGACTCCCATGGGGGCGATCAGCCCAGGGATGGTGGGTTTGGGGGGTCTGGATGGGGCGGCAGATAGTCCATATAATTACATGGAGTGTATGGGAAACTGTAGTCGCAAGAACTTGGGGATTTGACCCAGCTCGGAAAAAACAAACAAAGACTGACCTGATTCGCTTCATCACCGAGGTTCGCTTCCATCACCGAGCTGGTGGCAATCAAACAGGACAAGCCGCACTCGTCAAAGACGCCCTTCCTGGGGCGGAGGGAAGAAGGGTGCTGGGGGCATGGGCTTGGGTTGGTGCTTGGGGGATCTCTCTCTCTCTCTTCATATATGGTCCCATGGCCCTCTGAAATGAGATTAGCCGTAGGCTAAGGCATTTGTTGTTGTTGTGGTGGCGGCGGCGGTGCTCTGTTTGAAGGCGAGACGGTGAACAAGGCGATTGATCTGGATGATCATATGAGATCTTGCCGAGGCGACGGGGGCACCACATCCACATAGTTGCATTGGTCCGCTGAAGCTGCAGATTTGCTGATTAATCACACATGTTGGCAACTACAGTAGGAGTGTCTAAGACGTGTGATGGTGGTCTAAATCTCTGTTGGCATCTGATTTGCGATGTGTGGTCTTCAATCCTACGCCCCAGGCATTCAGAAGCAGAAACACCAAATCAATAATCACAGTTCCAAATCTGCCCAAGGCCTGATGCTAGCATGCTTGGTGGACTACATGTCCATTTAGATCCCAGAATTCATCTGGCTACATGAGATCACTGGGCGGTGGAACCCCCCCCAAAAAAAGAAACCATCGTTCCGGTACCCCGGGAATTCCTGTTCCGCGCGAGAAAACCCAGGCACCATGCAAATGGTCTATTTTCCCCAGGCACAACCGGGGCTGCAGATGCCGCCCCTGGCACCACCCCCTGGCCTTTCCGGGCATCATCTTCCAGTCCCAAACAGGTCGTGTTTTCGGTTCACCGGCCCATCCTCTCCACGAGACACGCCGGGCGACGGCCATCCCCGGCAGTGACAGGTGCAAACTGAGCTTCCCAGTGCATCGCGACGGGAACGTAGCGATGCATTTGCTACTACAAGGGCCCCCCTAACTCCTGGAGTCTTCCCTTTCATACCCCACTCCCTCATGACATATCTACGACATTCTACTTCTATCCAATGTGTGTCCGATGGAGGTCCAGGAGTCCAGGTAGGTCGAGGGTGGTCACTGACTTCTGCGCCGAGAGTCATGTACAGCTCATTCACACAGGGATGGACCCATTCTACCAGCAGCATGGCCCAAACAGTCATGATCATGAAGCAAAAGACCTGGTTTCAGGGCAGAAAATGAGGGTCACAAGGACCACGGGGGACAATCCACAAAATGCAAAACATCTGTGAATCTTAGATAAGGAAAAAAAGAACACAAGCCCTGAACATGATTAATAAGCAGCCGGATATTCATCAAAAACATAATTATACAGTACCCTGAAAATGTAAACTCAGGTTATTGACCTGTATTTGATCGCGATGGGGTGTTGCACACGTCAAAGCACCACATCAGACAAAGCTTGAATTATGTTACTATATTACACGCAGTGATACATATGCATGTGACATACCAGGACCCTGGAAGGGGTGCCCAATATCTCCTCCATTTATTATAATTCATTCGTTCTTATATTTTTATGATTTTTATGCTATTATGACTGGAAGCCTATAGGTAGTGTGGGGTAGTTCAGCCAGGACACCCCTGGTATGAGGGTGCTGGTATGAGCCTCGTATCTATCTGTCATCTTCCCCAGGTATTTGAGGGGTTGCTATATATGTGAGCCCGACGGAGCTCGTGAGACCCAGCGTCTCCATGGAGAGAACCTGTCGCTGAAGGCGGGGTGGCAAGCCATCTATGATAGCACACGCCTAACTCGAACAACCCAGGCGCCTTATCCAGGCTTCTCTGCAAACCTCCCTTCAGGTTCTATCTCTGCACCTACCTTGCTTGTAAACAGCATTGCTTCCCTCTCAGTTTTCTTGTGCTTCTTCCCCAAAGAAGAGTCCAGGACCTCGCAGGACCTGGCCTCTCACCTGCACGTCATGCATCGCCTCGGGCCGCCGTCGTCCCACCCGTCCCGCCCAGGTACGAAGGACCAGACCAGCGCCTTCAAGCATGTGGCCTTGAGTCGAGGCGAAGAAGGGAAGACTCGGAGTTTAGAGCATGGAGGGCAGGAGGGCAGGAGGTCACGTTTGGAGTTCCTATACTCAAGGGTTTTGATATGATTGTCATGATTGTTGCTTTTTGGACTGCCTTGAGGTACTAGCAAAAAATCATTGGATCCACCTGAGATGGAGCAGGTCCCAACTTTTGCAAGTCTTCTCCATCTCAGGTGGTTGTCAAAAACTGATCTCAAGTGCTTCCACCTGGATCCAACTGCTCCAAAATGGGCACTGAGATGCACTGAGCTGATTTAAAACCGCTGAAGCAAACGGTGTGGCTGAGCAACGTCCCTGCGTTGGATTTGTTTCTGATGGCCTTTCACCCTGCCCCACCCCACACAACCAAACCGTCATAAAACGCACCGTCATAGGACGTCACCTCCAAACCGCCGCGTGGGCGGATGGAGGTGACGTTCCTGCTGGAGCAACGCCCGCAGCTCCACGGAGCAACGCCCGCAGCTCCTCCTCCACCCGATGGAACTCTCCGAGTCACCATCATCCGCACCAACTTCTGCAGCTCACGCAAGGCCCTGGTCTTCCGCAGCAGCCGCGTGAGGCGGAAGATCCGGATGAGCCGCAAAATGCGCACGAAGCCAAAGGAGAACAGCACCTGACCAAAAAACGCAGGTGCCGGACTTGTTGTTGTCCACTTTGGGCATGAACGTGGGTGGAGTCCAGCCTGCTTGAGGGCCCCAAACGGCAAGATGTTCCATTGATGTTCCATTTGATGGCTCTGTGGGGATCATCTTTTCTTCACGAATTGCTCAGGTGTACACTCATCATCACATCTTTTGAAGAATCTTAACCTATATTTGAGAGCAGTCCTGACTGTGCACTTGCTGGTGGGGGTGTTTAGTCGCCAATCCACCAACCCAGCGAAACGACCTCGCGCCCGCCGATCAAGTAGATCAGCATCTCTGCATATCCGCAGCAAACGATAATTAAATCCAAGGCCACCTGAAGTCGAGTTTACGCGTTGCGTTGAAGATCGGGATTTTCTCTCTCAAGATTGATCTTCGCATAGAAGTGAGAAAGCTCCGGGTGGTGTGGGGCCAGGTCAATTTCAGGGTGGGGTGGCAAGAATTCTTCCCTGTTCAAACTTAAGCTATAGCATATATATAAACTGAAGCTATATAACATATGCATGCATATCAACTATTGTGGATGGCATTTACCATTAAACTGCGAGGACGTCAGGATTTGACATCAAAGCTTTTTGTTCCATCATTGCCAGGGCTTGCCATGATGTTATGTACAATTGGTCGTTAAACATTTAAAAACAACATCTTTTCGACTGGCAGGAGATGTGCACAATTTACGGATCTGCATGTTTGCTGTGACCATCTATCGCACGGCACCTACTCCTATCCTTTGTCCCGACAAACGAATGGCGGCATCTATATACTATAAATATAACTATAATACGGTAATAATACGTTAATATATAAGCTATAATATGTTAGAAAACCGAAATAGTTACACAAAAGTTGATCCCCACGGAGAATGTCTTGGAACCCGTTCTGGGAACCCACGTGCTGCTCAGCACCCCGCATGAATGGAGTCCGCTGAACACGTCGAGTCACTGCCCAGTCTCTCAGGAGGACCCAGCCAGAGGCGATCAAGGCCAGAGAGAGCTCAAGCGTGTAGAACATCAAGCAAACCTCAAAGGCATCGGTCGAACATGATGATGTTGAACATGATTTCGGCATGGGATGTCTCATGATTTCGGCACCTAAGGAAGTAAACGTTTGATGCCTAGCACTTCCTGTCCGGGTGCCCTGTCTGGAGACCTGTTTACGTAGGGTAGGGTAGTCTATTGGACACCCAGACAGGATGATCCTGGTACCTTTCGAGCGTGGCACTCCCCAACTCCGGCACGCTCCTTGCGAGACAATCTTCAGTGCACCCACCACCATGCAAAGCGTCTTTCATGTGTGTTGTTTTGCATCTCCCTCTCTCTGTGTCTCTCTCTCTCTCTTTCTCTCTCTGCATGACCTTGTTGTTTGAAGGCGCTGTGCCACTCTAGAGCGGCTCGTGGAAACAAAGGCGCCCAGCTAAGGAAACCCTGTCCACTCCATGTCCTGGACGATTGTTGGGTCATTGGTTCTATCGCTAGTTTTCCAAAGAAGATTGAAGAGGACGGTCAAGAGGATGTTGGACGCATGATGTTCTAAGTAGACCCGGGACGTCTGGGACGGGGGGAAATGCGTCTGAAAACCGGCCAAGCACGGTGCGATCGAGATCTGAGCTGGAAATGATTCAATTGGCTCATCTGACCGCATCAAAGGGACTGAAACTAGCTCATAGCTGATAGCTATACCCAAGCACCTCACCATACCTCACCCATTGGACGTTCTCCAAACCACCTTGAACTTTCAGCAGGTTATTTTGAACATATATAGCAGCATCAGCCAGGTGAGCACCCGTCGAAACGAGTGCTTCTGCTGGGGTACGCTATACCATCAGCCATATCCAAACCATCCATAATTTATTGACCCAAGGTCAACCACCCCAACTGATCGGCTTAGTTCGGTTTCAGAGTAGATGGCACTGCCACCCCGAGAAATCTTTTAGATGGGCATCCATATAAACCTTCATTTCGTGATTGTGCCACCTTCTCTGAAACCACTGTAGCATGAACGAGCATGCACCACCTGGGCTGAACTCGTCTTGCCAACCCGAGGGGGCACACCTTACATATGATAAAGTGGTTTCAGAGGTTCGATTGCACAAGGGCCCCCAAGTAGGTTGATAAGATATGGACCCACAGTGCCATCGGTACATGGGGTTTGGGTCTCAGGTTGCTTCTGGTCACCTTCTGATTCGATGTCGCGAAGGCCTGGGCCTTCAAAAAAACCTGGGCTGGAGACCTCGAAGACGATGATGCGGGAGTAAAACCCAGCAACTGGCAGGGACAAACGTGCAATAAATTTGCCACAACTGCTGAATAAGAGTGGCCTGGGATGAAAAACCAAACAATGTTTTGCGTTTTGACACGTCGTGGAATTATCGGGAGTGATTTGTTGGAGTCTCACAGGGCCCTTGGACAAAACATTGCAAGTTGTTCAAACCAATATCTCCACTTGCAACGTGGCAGCTTGGAGCGTCCAGAAATCCAAGTTGTTTTTTCGAGCACAGGCGACAGAAATTGCTAAGTAAGGAGCATCTGAGATTTGCTGAGCAATTCCCTGCCCATAAACCTGACGAGAGCCATGCGAGCACATGCCTCCCTTTTCCTCTTCGTAGTGTAGTGCTTGCCCCAACCAAATTCGTGAATTTCACCCTGCGGAAGTAGCACTCCGCCGCTGTTCTGGTGCTTTGGGATCCAAGCACAACCAATCTTAAGTGGCAGGATCCTCCCCATCAATCGCCAGACTGGAGGAGAATATCAGCAAACCACTCGGGAGGAAACTCCCCGGCCCATGAATTGGCTGCTCCAACCCGTCAGCTGCAATCTGATCTCTAAGTCTTGCGGACCTACAATTCGAGAAAGAAACTGCTTGATCGACAAAGAAACTTATTGCGAGGTCGCCGCAAGAATCTGTCAAATGTCCCAAGATTGCAGGACAAATGCCATATCGATTAATTGTGTGTTTTGAGGGATTGTCAATTATATCTACAGTATGTTATATGCTGGCCAGTGATGCCAAAGCTTGACTTGGAAAGAAAGTGCACGATCAACACACACACATGCCTATCGGATCATATCGGAAACAAACAAAAACATCGAAACGCCTCGAAAAGAAATACCAAAGACGTGACGTCGTCTCTTCCTTTAAAAAAGTATAGACGATCTGTCACCAAACAGGTCTTCGGAAACCTCACTGATCTGTCACTTATCCAGCACCCTGGCGCCGCGCGTGTCGCACGAAGTCAGCACGGCCTCTCGATCCGGGGTAAGCTCTGCAGCGCGGGCGTCGATGTCCCAACAGGTGCAATAAGCATCCACGAGGACCACCAGGGCCATGAAATTGATGAAATAACTACCTGTCGGAAGGACCAAGACTACCACAGCGCAGGACCTTCTGCACAAAGGGGGTGGTTTGTGTATTTGGACACCCCGAATCAGAGCTTGGAGGGGCTATAAATAGACACCCCGACGGGAGGGGCTATACTATAGAGCAGACTCTTTTGGTAGATCCTCAAGTCTCCTAATTATTGAAAAGTTGTTCCCATGTTGAACCTCCTAGATGGTTGAACCCATATATGGTTACTCTTGAGAATGCTTGTCCAGTCGATGCAAGCAAGACACTGGCCTGCGGGGGATTGTTTGAGATTGTTTGGCTTTGTTGGTTTGATTGTCTTGTGGGTTTCTGAGACTGAGGAGAGTATAGACATTTCAACTAAGATACCTGAACAACGAACCTTCTTGGGCTCCATATCCGGATTCATTAAGCAATGACAAAACCATTCCAAACTCATACCGCTTGTTGCCAAGTTGAACAACAAATAACGAGGAAAAACTTCACATTCACATACATTCACTACCATGTGCCTTGTTCGGGCAGGGTTGATTCAAGGCCAGGCCTGCTGTTCCGCTCGTACACTCCGAATATCCTCTCTATGACCCAGACACTCCATGTATGCCATATATGCCTACATTGGGGTGGTTTTGGGGGTCAATTGATCGGCATATATGGCAGTCCCATGGGTCGTGTCTGGGTGAGATGAACACCCCTTCGCGTGATCAGGCTGTATCTTCCCATCCCGCTCCGTCTGAGATCGGACTGGCTCGGTGCGAAGCTCGGTGGACTCGGTGAAGAAAGCGGAAGATTCCCTTTGACTCACCGTGTTAGACATGCGTTTCTGTTGGATTTAGCGGAAGATATGCCACCCCATTGACTTTCCTGGCCACCACCCCAACTGATCGGCAGTCCTGTGGCAGTCCCATGGAGCGTTTGGGTTAGGGGACGGAACCATTTCGCCGTCCACCATCGTTTCTGCTCTCTGCCATCACGGGAGATGGGGGGGGGCCAAGTCCTTGATCGTCCACGATCCTCAAAAAAAATGAAGTCGACCCCTCTCACGTGGAACGACACCGGTGCCATTAGGGCCATCCCTGCGCATCCAAGTACCTTCTCAGGTACGGTGATTTGGAGACACTGTTATGTAGGTTTGGAGGGTCCAGTCGTACCGAACCTGAGAGAGTACGACTGGATCCCTAGCGCACGTTCAATACCTGCAGCTCTTCGCTCAGAGCCCGGGTTTGGTATGCTTCAAAGCAGGGGCCAGTGACCGCTACCGCTCCAGCCCTCGCAACTCGTCGAGACGACCAGGTGAGAGACTTCAGCCAGAGGACTGGTGGTCATCCGACTGGCACAAATGACTATCTTGCTCCTCCAGTCGCCACCACCTTGCTCGATCGATCCGAGGTTTCAGCACGGGGGGCCCCGAAGTCACGTGTGGCACAGTCGAGTCAAGCGAAAAACCACCCAGTGGATCCATGGGTGGACCAACCTGACCGGGAAATCACCTTTCAAAGCGATGCTAAACTGGAAGATGCCCAACGTTGAGACGGCGTGGAGTCGTCGACGGGCTTTCGGTTGGTTTATCTACTCCATCTCCCACAAGTGCGGTTGGGGCTTCTGAGTCCCTCATCTTCCAAAGTTGGGGAAGACATCGCGAAGAATCGGGGCTCCCTTCCGCAATAGGGTTCCGCTGCTAACTGGGCACGGCACCGTGTGTTGCAGCACATGCTGGCCCCTGACCCTGATCGCTTTGTCAAACACGTGACCCTCTTTGTCAAACGACGTGACCTACTTGGCTCGGCGACTCGGCAGTTGGCTTGAGTAACATGGATCTGAAAGACCAACCAGTGTCCCACGGCCAAAGATGCGCCACATCGCAGCCCAAGCAGCTGTCACCCTCAAAGCCCTTGGTCTTCGCTTTGATGAAATTGCTGTTCACCGCCACACTCTTCCTGGCGATGCAACCCACTTCACCGACCTCTTCAAAGGCTCACCGGACCCGCTGTCCTCGTCGACCCGCTGGTTCACTCATTGACCGCACTCTAAGGATCCAGTCGTACCCTCTGAGAAGGTGGGACTGGGGTGGGTGGTCTTGGGGGGGTCTAACCACCTTCTCAGCATATGGGCCAGGAGCCGGAAAAACACACGCAAGGCTTTTCGGCGGCGCAGTGGCGCGTCGGAATGTCCAACGACGCGTGCGACGTGGCGTGGCGTGCGACGTGGCCGCCTCTTGGCTGAGTTGGTGGAGGCCAGGCGGCCACTGCTCTTTTGACTCCCAAAACTTTGGACGACTCGTCTGGATGCGCTGCCCTCGGACTTCTCTGACTGGATGCCTGAACGTGGATAGCACGATGTCGGACTGATGCGTGGCCGGGAGAAGCAAAGAACTTGGCTGAACCCGTGTCGTGTCGCAAAATCTGAAGTAAACACATCTCAAGTTGATCAGAAACTCCAGTGGATGCATGATTAATGATTGGTGGCTAAAACCCATCCAAGTTACATAGAAACCTCTTCAACTAGAAGTGGTATACATATAATGAGCAAGTGGT